TGAAGAAAGATTCTGTTCAGGTAACGGTCTTGATGAAGCCACGAGTTCGCTTGGTTTACATGAAGGATGATGCTTTAGATAATAAACTAGCAAGACAGAGCTCAGATTCAAATAGTTCATGGCGGTGCTCTCGAAAATCAACACCTTGCAGCATACTAAGAAACACATAGAAATGAAATAGCTACACTTGCACTAGTTGCAGTGGACTAATCGATTGCATTATTCAGTTTTAATTGAAGTGTGATACTAAATCGCAAAATTGATGATCAAATGGATAGTGAATCATTCTAAATATCAAACTATTCAACTATTCTTCTACCTAACTGGAAAAAAATCTCATAGTTCTTGTTCTTTACGCATTACATCCGTATTATATAACTCCAAATATGATACTATTCAAGCACTTTATTCATTTCAGAATAGAACATGAGTATATGCCACCTATCAGAGTGAGCATGGAACATGAATAATTTTCAGTATGAAACTATTCAACTATTTTATTCATTTCCGAGGGGCTTCTGGAATTAGGTAAGATGATGCAGTGCGACACGAGAAGTAACTAGCATCAACAACTTCTCTCTTCAAGTATATCATTCACGTCAAAATAAAGATCATCAGCTCATCATATCAACAGGAATCAATCGACAAATGAATTGTTCTAACCACAGTTCTATCTCATTTTGTTGCTCATTTCGAAGCGAAGTATGTCACTCGATTACATCAGCAAAGATCTCTTGAAAAATGAATCGTTACAACGAGGATTCCATTGAAGTATATCGCTCACTTCGAAGCGAAGTATGCCATTCGATTACATCAACAAAGATCCTTGACGAATGAATCGTTATAAAGAGGGCTCCATCCAAGTATATTACTCAATTTGAAGTAAAGTATGCTAATCGATCATATTAGCAAAGGTTTTTTGGCAAATGACTTCTTATAACCAGGATTCATTCAAGTATATGGCCACAAAACAAAAACAAAAATGATCCACAGCTTAGATTATCGAGACATCTGTCTCATGATAAGTATGAACAACGATTTCATTCAGATATGTCACTCTTAACTAGACTACTAAATAGTATAGGTACTAGTGAAAGATACATGACAAATGTATCAGTCTGAAAACAATTCTTTTCAAATATGCCGTTCACTTCGAAGTGAAGTATGTGATTCGATCTCGTCAGCAAAAACCCATTGACAAGTGAATCATGCTAATTACGGTTCCATTTCTGTATATCGCTCAGTTTGAAGTGAAGTGTGCCACTTAATTACGCCAGCAAAGATCTATTGACGAATGAATCGCTATAAGTAGCGTTTCATACGAGTACATCACTCACTTCGAGATGAAATGTGCCAGTAGACTAACATATGACAATGTACGCGTTAAATAATTACTTCTAACAAAAACTTTGTACAAATATGACGTTTTCTTTAGACGAAGTTTGCATAAAATTACATGATCAAAGTTGCAACAGTAAATGAATGATTCTAAGTAGAATTGTATGCAAGAATGTTGTTCACTTCGAAGCAGAGTATGTCTTTCGATCACATTAGTAAAGTTCTCTTGACAAAATGAATTGTTGTAACCAAGGTTTCATTAAAATATATCGCTGAATACGAAGCAAAGTGTCGCAGTCAATCAGATCAGCAAAGCTCTATTTACAAATGAATTGTTATAACCATCAGAGTTCCATTCAAGTATATCGTTCAGTTCAAAAAGAAGTGTGCCACTTAATTATATCAGCAAAGATCTTTTGATAAATGAAACAAGCTAAACACAAAGATTCTGTTCGAATATCTTGTTTAGCTCAAATAATTCATTTGGATGAAAAAATGTGTTCGCTGAAAAAATGCCAACCAAATAGTGACTACAATAGCTATATTCAAGTATTGGTTGCATTACAAGGATATGGTAAGATTGAAAGTGCAAGAAAAAGACAATAGAACATGAACGAAATGAAGCAGTAAACCGTTCAAGTATCTACTGATGTGTCGTAAAATATGAAAACGAGATCTTTTGACGGATAATTTGAAGATATTTGGATACTTTCAATTAAATATCGATTCAACTGAATGAATGACTAAAGAAAACATCACAGCTGATGTTTTAAATAATGATGACATAGTGAATGCACAGTCAGAACAAAGATCCTATTCGCATATTCTAAATGATTTGAAGTGATCATTCGATGTTGATCGGTGGACAAAAGCACACATTGTACATGGCAGTGTTTTATCTGGAGCTGCTGTACTTGTTGTTATGCTATTACCTAAATGGATGTGATGATTTGTACTTGAATTAAAAACCACCTGTACTAAACAATATCGTTGTCGTGTGTTAACAAATGGATTTTAGCTCGTCATTGAATTTTTATATAGAAAGCTCTTGCTATTTTCAAGAAGCAATATTAACTAGGTTTGGAATTCGGAAACAGTCAGTTTGACTACGTTGATCTATCGGCTAAAATGAACAGTGATATGTTCTACAGTTCAGAGCTCGCTTGTAAACAGTGAATGTACTATTTGAACTTCGTTCTTTCTAGCTTACAGTTACTCAGGCATAAGCTTTCAAGTGGACAAAAGACAAGACATATTCTCTATTTTAATGTTTTGTTTTTGGACTTTCTTAATTTTGTCTATCACTCTTGATTGATTCTGTTGTAATTTTAAAGCTTTTTCCCATTAGCACGGCTATCTCATCAGAAAGTTGTGTGAGTTATCTTGTTGATAAAGTTCACTCAAGAGATAATTGGTCGAAACACATCCTCTTGATGAATGTGCTTCTTTTATTGAGCCCTTTGATTCTTTCTTTTATATTCTCTTTCTTCATGATTCCTAAGAAAAGTAAGCTTCCAATAAAATGCGAACATGTGATTTCTAGCTTCTCATGAAAGACAAAAAAATCATCGAAAGCAACTTTCTAGAGTAATATTGAGTAGTCACAAAATTCTCCAGAAAGCAGCGAGAACTTTCTAGTATAAAAGCAGGCAAAATGCACGAGCGATTCACATCTTAGAACAGATGGCCAATATCTGAACCCGAGCTGTATCTTTTGGATGGAGCACTTAGTGCACTAGTTAACCGGTTGCTCTGTTAGTTTTTTTTTGAAATACTATTGGAAATGAGTGTTCGAAGTATGTAGTAAGAAACCTGCACTCATCTCTCTTCTATAGGTCGTGACAGAGAGCATGCATTTTTTAACTCGAAAACGTATATTCTAAAATATATATTTAAATAGTTATCAATTTAACAATGTCCATAAAGTAACCTAGGATGTGTAGAACGGTAAATAATTCATTTTCTCTGTTTCTGTGTATAAACCACATTTGTAAGCCACTCCCTATATGAATATGATCTATTGTTTAGTTTTGTCTCGATCATTGCAACTTCTTTATTTTTATTCCCAAGACTGAAATATCTCAGGTGGAGAGAGTTAATTTAAAAAAAACGTGTCTCTCTTTGTATGCGTATGTGACTCTGCCCATAGTTTGTTTTTAAACCATTCTCCAACTGGCCTTATGAGTTTGTTTCATATGTTCTATTTCGAATTCTTATATTAAATGAACTATTCAACCTTTTTTAAGAACGATTTTTAATGAATTCTTTTAGTATCTGCGAAAAAAAATCAACATCTGATGAAAAATGACTGAGATGTCGATGATTATTTTTTCTTCAAGCACAGCTAGTATGACATATTTTAAAGTTAGGAGAAATTGAAATCTTTGCATTCTTTGGATTTCTTATCTTGCTAGATGTAAAGCACTTTTCCACTTCCAATTTTTTGGATTTTTCTGTGATGAATACTTGGAAAAATTTCAATCAAAAATACTGTCAGTTGATATTAATTTTAACATATCAATTCGAACTCACTTGTTTGACAACTCGAATGGGCTCCAAACTCAAACTCCTCGAAAAATGCAGTTTTCCATGAAATATGAGTTTATGAATATCGACGTGGATGTGTAGGTGGATCTTCTCTGCATCCATATCCACAGCCACATCCTGCATTGTACCTTCTGAAAAAAATACTGATCATAAACGAGTATCCACAGTATCTAATTAGAAGAGGATCGTACGCCAAGCAGAGATTATTGTTAAAAAGATCCTTAGTCAGAAACAAGCGACACAATGGGTATTAGGAAAAGAAAGAAAATAACGCTCATTCTAGTATATTCTAATCAAGAATTGACCATGCTAATAGATAGAATTAAACGAACTTGTAAAAGACTATCACAACTAGTTATTATTAGAGTGGCTTGTGGGAAAAACGGTAACACCAAAAAGTGTATTTCTTTGTCTTCAAAAACGAACTTGATGAGAACAAGAAAAATCACGAAAAAACAATTTATAAGATCCCTTATTTAAATTGTCATAAGCATAATATTCCAGAAACTAGCTAATAAAAGTCAGTCAGAATGAAAATTCATCAAAATTACATCAGAAAAAATAGCTGATCTGTGAAATGCTGCGAAGCATTACATTTTGGAAATCGTAGACTAGATTTTGATCGGTCTGAAAGGCCAACTCTAGAAAAGTATGGACTTGGAAGAGCGATTTAAAAAATTTTTTACTACACAAGAATCCTATGAAATACGTTTCAACGACGTAAAATTTAAGTTGAAACTCTTTGAACAAGCATTATCGAGCCCAATCGCATTTGGCCAGTACCCACAAGCTCTGCAAACATGAATTCGTCAAAATTATGTTCTCAGATTCACAGTATATTCTGTTATACATTCATAATAATGACTTGCATCTTGTAATATGCAAACACTCAATTTTTCATGCTTCTACATAATAGTTCGATGTAATTTCGAAGATATCGAAGAATATCCTTCATTTAGCAGTATCTAGAAAGTTATTACGTCTGTAGTGATAGGTTATGGGTATCTTTCTAACAAGTGCATCAATCTATGCATATGAGAAGTTCTACAGTTTTCAAATATTCAGAACTTTTTCATTATACCGTTGTAGGAAGCAGTATTTAACTATTTAGCGTTTTACTTACCGCTAGTAATAGTTGTTTTTGTCGTTGTTGTAATTTTTGTTGCTGTTGTCACTGTTGTTCCCGTTGTTGTTGTTATTGTTACTGTAATTGTTGCTGCTGCTGTTGTTTTTGTTGCAACTGTTGTTGCTGTTGTTGTTGTTGTTGTTGTAATTGCTACTGCTATTGTTGTTGTAACTGTTACTTCTGTGACTGTTGCTGTTGTTGTTGTAACTGTTGCTGCTGTGACTGTTGCTGTTATTGTTGTAACTATTGCTGTTATTGTTGTAACTGTTGCTGTTATTGTTGTAACTGTTGCTGCTGTGACTGTTGCTATTGTTGTTGTTACTCTTGTTGCTGTTGTAATTGTTGCTGCTGTGGCTTTTGCTGCTGCTGTTGTAATTATTGTTGTTGCCGTTGTTGTTGTTGTAATTGTTGCTGCTGTGGCTGTTGCTGTTGTAGTTATTGTTGTTGTTGCTGTTGCCGTTGTTATGTTTGCGTCTAAAACCAACGACAAATCAGAACTGTAACGTTCTACAGAAAAATTCACTTGTGTTTGAATTAGCGAATGAATCCTCAAGAAATAACTTGTTTATGACACAAGTTCGAAGGAATGTTTCTGTCATAATGCACATATAGCAATTGTGATTGCTGTTCCTATAGAGCTGATCCCTGGAGCAGAAAACACAGCATAAATCCTTTTAGAAGATTGGATGTTGATATATTGGTGTGAATGTGTAGCATGGTAGCAAGAAAACACTCATCCATCCCCACACGCATCCTGCTGCTGCTCCGATAGATTTCTAGTCTGGTATTTATTATCTCGAATAAACACTGCCAAGTCCATGGATTATTCTCGTTATTCGAATTTTACTTTGCATGATAGAAGCGACAAATCAAGTACCGGATATTTTTTTTCGGAAGCATATAAGCGAGCATCATACGACAAAGCTGCGACAGGTACCGCTAAAAGGTTGACCCAGTGTACATTTATTTTTGAGTTTTTTCATGTTTTTCTTTACGAATTCGAGCATGAAATTGTTTTTTCGTAAATCAAACACTTATTACTGATTTTGAAGGCTATTTCTGTGAGAAAACTTGCATCGGACTATCCTATATTGCCTAATTTCATTATAACATAGTATTCGATGTTATCAACTCATTTTCATGCCAACTGATATTATCAAAACAAAATTGAATAATTGATGCGCATTTTTGGTTCACCGTAATTTTACGCATATTTCTCGTATTGTTTACAGGGCATATTTCGTACAGATATATTAGATAGCAAAACGAATATGACTTGGGAAGTAGATTGAATATGCAATTAATTAATAGTATCTGTGTCCGGCGACCAGTTCACGAATGTGGAAATTTGATATAAAATTGTAGTGTTGTGAAGTTTTTTTCTCGTCAATAGATACCACGAGACAAACAACTTGTCGAAACAAAATACAAAAAGTGCTATAAAAACGACTGTTGTATCATTATTGTAGTGATTAGGACACCAATTTGACTAATTGACCGGTCTACTTGACTGTGATATGTGCAAAAGAATGAAGAATGACATATGCCGGTATACTAACCGATTCGACCCAGTTTGATTATTTAGAACGATACCAGTAACGGCAAGAAAAAAAATTTTCTATTGGTTCCAAGTCTGGTATAAGGACTGATGACTTTTGCAGCGCTTTATTGATGGCTTTTTTAGGAACAGTTTCTCTAAAAATCTTTTGTCTGATGCAAAGAAAAAGTATTGAACACTTTCTATGCTGAATATTCTATAATATAATTCAACCTTAGTATAGTGGCAATCGGGATATTTTCATATTACCACTGAATTTGTAGATGTTACTTAGTCCATAACTGGCAATTTATCATAGGAAGAATTCATTCGTGAAAATTTCATATTGAAAAGATTGCTCAATTCATGAATGACGATTTGCACTCAGGTAAGATTTTTATTTACATTCGAGTTCAATGCAAAATGAGACACATACGGAAACAGTTGAATCATGATCCACTGTGGATGAAGGTTATTATAGTGCTAGCAAGCCGAGAACAAGATCGCATTATACTTCATAAATGGTTTTTGAATAACACATGGATTACTATTAAGACGTGTCTACTACCCTGAAATATATGCATATTTCGATTTCGTGACTTAAGAAATTCATAGAACTTAAGCCATTCAATATTCTTTAAATATTATGCTTAATTCTCTTATCAATGTTTAGATTTGAGTATTATCTCACAATGGAGGCGTTTGTGTTGTAAGTTAAATCGACTAGACATATNCCTTTTCCCCTTGCGTTCAACTATAACAAAGACGAGAAAGACGAATGCGACGTCTCGTCCACTATATACCGTCCTGGTTGCTTTATCTACTGAAGAACTTATTATTTGAGGTCGTTTAAAAATTAAAACAAGAAAAAAAGCAGTATTTCAATGCTTTTTCAAAAAATATTCGGAATAAATTATTACGTTCGTTGTACTCCCTTGCATTCCTTTGTACTCCCTTGTACTCCTGGTACTCTCTGTACTCCAGGAGTACTCCCGTACTCCGAGTACGTGATTTCCCCCTTGCTTAATGTTCACTTCCAGCTAAATTAACAAGATTAAGTTTTCTAATATGAATATGTACTTTTTAATCAATACTAATCTAATAATAATTATTTTTCAAATAAATCTTTATTATAATCTTACTAATTTCTATCGTAATAATAAGAATAGCATATGATCATGAACTATGCTCATTCATATTTGGTTGTTCTAATCAATAAAGTTTTCTTTTATAAATAAGAAAAATGTAAAATTTATCCTGTTGAACGATTTAAATTGCCTACTGTCGTAACATGTTTTATTTCTTATATATTTTTTGTAATAAATGAACTAAGATCATGTACATGAATACCTTCTTTTGGGTTTTTTATATTTTTCCTTTTCGACATTTGTCTCCTTTGGTTTTTCGATATTTTTCCACTTCGACATTTTTTTTGACTGGGAACATGAATTGATTTATTCTGTGAGTTCAGTATTCTCAACCAATCATGTTAGTGGAACTAACTGTATGCAATGTAAATAATGTTGTTCTTTTATTTTTATTTTAATCAGATTTTATTCTCATTTTCAATACAACACATTATTATACGCACACATTTAAGAAATAAAGTAACTAAAAATCTTCCACTTTTTATGAAAAATGCATAGATCTGTTAAATTATTGATAAAATGAAAATGGATGATGAATGTGACAATCATTTGCGATAGATGGTGATAATACATACAATATGGATGAGAACGCAAACAAAGAAAAAACCAATTTTCATGCACGTCGAAAATCGCTTCTTTTTTTTTTTATTTAGATGTGTTAAAACTGATTTCATCTGAATTGATTTCCGTTGGAAAATTAGGAAAGAAAAGAAAAAGATTTGATTAATCATGCGCTCATTATTTGGATAAAAGTATATTACATTGAAAAAACATATCATTTAATTTCGTTTTAAACAATCATGAGTTATTCAATTGTTATCAATGATTGAAAAAATCTTTCAAGGTTTCATTAAAACAACTGAAGAGCTTAAGAAACGAAACAAGGTAAATTTAGAGAATTGAATTTTGATTTGAAAAATGTTATTATTTGTTTTTAATAAGAATTCACCATTATCTTCCACAAATGCAAATCAATCAACAAGTTTTTTTTTCTACTCATTTATATGAAATGATTATATTCGACTTATTAAAAAAAAATAATAAACTTCACTTAATATTATTTAAAAAAAAATATCATAAACAACTTAATCGTAACATAAAAGATATTCGTTAAATATTTCCTCTTTTTTTTTCTTTGTATTTTATTGTTATTATTTTTTTCATTTAAATAGAATTTAAAAACCAATGAAGAAAATTAGAAAGCGACAATACTGATTTACATTTTCTAAATACTCAATATTTTTATTGATTACATTTATTAGAAAAAAAAGAATCTCGTCAAAAAGATAAGAAAATTTTTCAATTGCAAGAAAAATAATTTTCAATCCGCCGTCCAAACACCAACTGGTAAACAAATTTATTCATTTGTTTTAATCTTATTTATCAAAACAAGAATATTTATGTGAAATAAACAGAATTTCATTTTATCGTCAATGATTAAATATTGATGAATTATTCCCGGAATCATTATAGTCATTATCATCATCACAACGAACATTAGTATCTTTATATTAATAATTCATATATGATCGAATATAAAACAAAAAAGACTAAAAAATAATATTTATTATTATTGTCTTGTTTTTTCTCATTTTGTTTTGAGTGTAACAAAAAGTATGGAAAAGTGAATTGAAAAAAGTTTCAATTAGGAAAATTCGCATTTCCTTGTCAATTCTGTATTTATTTATCGTAATTATGCATTTCAGATTAATTTTCATCATTATAATGTCCAGTTACTCCGATGTGTTACATTCAAGTACATCGAATGTTGTTGATTCTCGTAAAATAACAGGTAATCATTTCAACTTCAAATGGTGAAATTATACTATTGTTGCTCTAGATGAGAAAATAAAGAAAAAATATTTCGGCACAATGGTAAGCAATACACATATATAGAAGATAGTAAACTTTTTCTATTCTCCTTGTGAAAGAGAGAAGAAATTTCAGTAATTGTTGTTTCTGTTTGTAGCAACCACAAGTTGCTGATTATTTAATAAAGAAAAATTATGGTACGATATTACTCATCTGTTTTATCTTAATTATTATTTATTATCAAATATTTTTGATTTGTTATCCTATGATGATTGATATTCATTTTAAACATGAATATTTGAATGAACAATTACAAATTGAAAGAGAAAACTTGAGCAGATTTAAAGAAGAATTAATAAAAACAGAGCATTATTATAGATATAATGTTAGCAACGATAATATAACTTGTCTAAAATGTTGGTCTCCAATTTGGGAATTAGATTTTGATTATATTATAAATCATGTTTTGAAAAATAGCAGACACATTAAACAGTTATATGATGATACTATATCTCCATTACAACGTCTGTTAACTTTAATTTGTTGTTTCAACACAATGTGTGTGGTGATAATTTTTAAAGAACCATACAAGTTATTTTTTACATCAAGTTTATTTACTACCATATGTGTGTTCATATATGGAGAATTCTTTATCAGGGATAAACCAAATGTTTATTACACATTAATCACTGGTGTTGGCATATTTTTATTTTCTTGTTTTCTATTAATCAAAATACTTCTTACATTATTAAATGTCCTACATAATCAAAGAATGAAAGATATTTAAAAAAATGAATGATAGCTTAATATCTCACGAGAGATATTCGTTAAAATAAAGTTAGAATTGATAAATATGTCACTCTTTCATTTGATTTTTTGTTTAGATTTGCTATTCATGTTATTGATGGACCAATAATCTCTAAATTTTGCTTTGTGTATCCGATTATTTAATATTCAAGTGTAAATATTATAAAATATGTTTTGAATAGTTTGACAGAGATAATATCCGGATTTGTTACTTTTTTTGTTTTACTATAAATAAATGCAATAATGTTTTCTAATCTCAATTCAGTCTCATCACCTTTCTTTTTCAATTGAATAAAACATAAGATTTCCATTAAAATTTAATATTTTCAATTCATTTTGAGGCCATTTATATGCACTATTTGAAAACAATAAACAACCCACAGCTTGCTTGCTACTTTTAAATGATTTTTTCTAAAAAAACAATTCTTTTTCCTACTGATATATGACTTGATGATGCATGATGAGTTTTGCTAATTTTCTACATTAAAAATACCAATGATGAAAGACACATGTCAATAGCAATCGTTATGTATCTGATAAAAACAAAGAATCTTGAGGTATTCTCTACAGTGTAAGAAAAAGCATAGAATAATAAACCCTTTAAACGAGTTTATTAACCTCATAAACTCTCGAAAGGTTTATTACATATAATAAATCCTTGAAAGATTTCTGAAAATAACGTGCATCCTAAAAGGCTTTAGGAAAATTTGATATAAAGTTTATGAGGTAAATAAACGTTTTTAGAGGGTTTATTATTCTACGCTAATTTTTATAGTGTATAGGCAAGACTAATAGAAACTATAAATAGTCATATCCAGATAATTTATTCTATTATTTCATGATTTGTCGCAAAGATATCATCGAATATCTGCTTAACTATCAAATTAAAAGATTTATTACATATTCTCGCAATCATAAATGTGTTGATGTTCTTCTTGTATCATTAATTAATTTTCATGTTATGTATGAAGAAAAATATGAACGGTGGAAAATTTTATGCAAGAATCTTAAAGCAATTTTGTGAAGATATTGAAGATATACGGCTGTATCTGGTTTACAAACAGATTCAAATGATCAAAATTCACTTGGTGACAATTTTTATTTTATTTGAAAGAAAAACATTTAAATGAATATTTTAGAATGTGTTTATGATCTTGTGGAATTTGCTTTGTCATTTCAATCAACCATGCGTCAACTTAATGAAGCACATTTAAATTTTGCATTTGAACTTCGAATGGGTTTAAATTTTGGACCAGTTGCAGCTGGTGTTATTGGTACAACAAAGTTATTTTATGAGGGTGTGGGATGGTTGTGGATGAGTGCAGGTGGGTGTGAGATGCCGGTCTAGTTTTTCCTTGAATCTGTTACCACTCCCACACCCTAAATTATAACATCCCACGAGCTCTAATGATTGTACAGATATTCTATTCTCAAGTATCCGTAACTTTAGTGTCCCTTAATAAATAACATAGAGACTCATATTACTTGAATAGAAAACCAGCTAGTTCGCTAATGAATGATCACGACTTAATATATAATATCATTTCTCTGATTCAAAGTCATAGAAGAACAAAGTGCAAGGATATTGTTTTCATTGATTAAATAAACTATATGGAATATAAATTCGGAANCAAACGTTAACTGTAGTCGCAAGTGTTTCCAGGGCTTTTCTGTACAAGAACAGTTGAGAGAATCTTGTGAAGTTCTTGAGAAGCCAGATAGGCTGGCAAAAACTCAAGGATTCAAATAAATTATTAAAAATTTGAGAAAATCTAAGAACATGAAGAATTTGCATCAGATTACAAAAACCCCAAATCTATCGTTTATCTTTGGCAGAAATGTGACTATTTCTCTTCTAAATGAATGATAATAGCTTTAAGCGATGCTATTCAACTTTTTGCTGATGAATAAAAACTTAGAAGTTTTCTCTATCATCAGGAGAAAACTCAGCTCATTTGGTCAGAATACAGTGGAGATATACAATTTTCTTTTTGGTGGGTGACTTTTGGGACACCCTGTATTTGTCTATCGAAACACGTATTTCTCTTTTTATTTGTCTAGATCGACTTCAACCTTGTCTTAATTGCATCACTTGATCAGAGTACAATTATATAATTCATCTTACGGACGCGAATCTTACCATGTATGTTATGATTCCCGTGTGTTTTGTAACCTTTCATTTTCTTATCATGTATGGCATGACTTTTGATGCAGACACAAAATTATCATTCACTGTGGACCTTTGACTTTCTCAAGCATCAATAAAGAATGAATGATCTTTGAAGCAATAATAGAAGAGATGATTTATCTCTAACCAGATAACCATTCACCAAAATCATAAGTTTTGTTTTCGTTATTGTATGATTAATCTACTCAAATTCTGGAAGAAATAGAAAAATCATACATTAAATTTAAGATTATGCTGACTTTTTTTTATTGGCATTCACATGTTGTAAATAAAAAACTAAGAATTACTGCGAAAAAATTCAATTTTTCTGGCTTTAGTAGTGAAAAAAAGTGTGGAAAAACAGTTAAAACTCGTTTAGAATCTTTCAAGCCAATTCATTAATGGGAAATAATACAGATCAATGATCTTGTAATAGATATACTACAACTGATACATAGCGATGGATTTTATAAATAGTGTGTTACGACTTCATTGAATTACGGAATAGTGTATGTATTGATATTTGTGATAGAATTGAATGAGTGTACTCAGCAGACTTCAGTTAAACTTAAATTTTCATAGACCATAAGGTCATGACAACAAACAAAATAAAAAATATGTTTTCAATAATAAAAATAGTCATGCCAAAAATGCAGATAAACATTAGATATAACTTTTCTTCTACAATTAGTCACCACTAAAAATCTCCTAGAGTAATAAAATTAAAGAGCAAGTGTGAATTTTTTCTAACGATTTTGTTAAGAACGATGTTGGTCTTTGAGTAAATTTTCTTTTTTGAAATATTAAAAACCAATTAATACTCTACATATCAAAAGAGAAATGTGTAACAACTCTATGTAGAAAAACAAATTGTTTCATAATGAAAACTTTTCACGGTAAAAAAAAAATCAATTTTTATTAAATCTCTCTGGAAAAATTCAACGTTTCGATTTCATACATTTTTGATTCAAATTAATAACAGATTGAAAGATCTGTGATCCAATTAATGCTCTCAATATTAATCATAATAGTAAAAAAATTATATTGACCTATTGTTATCTTTGAAAAACCAGGCATTATGTTAAATGTTATTTATGATTAAATAGATCAAGTATCATGGGACATACAAATGTGTGATGAAAAATATGCAATGACGAATTCAGTCTTTCGAGAATAAGATGTGAATATGTATATCTTCAATTCTTTTATAAATTGAAATGTTTTTCTGCGTCAAGATATCTAATAAAGATTTAACTTGTCTTGTCAAGTCTTTTATTTTAAAATAATTCTGTAATACTATTTTGGTATGATATTAAAAAATCTAGCGAGTTTTTTTTTTAAAGTGTTTAAATAATATGACAGGATCTTTTATAAGCTATATCAATACCCATCCAATTATTTTATTCTGCTTTTGATTTATATCTATAGAGAATGCAGTTAATAAAAGTAGGACAATAAAATCCCAAATGAATCAACTAATGAAATGGAATATATCCTAGATGGATACTATTTTTGTTCTTTTTCAACCTAGTAAACAAAGATAATATCAGCGTAAAGGTCCACATCGGATTGTATATAATGATTAGGAATGTGTGCAACCGAGATCAAAAGAACACAAGTGTAATATTGGAACCAGAACTAAAAAAAACTGAATCCTGCATATCTCTAATAGTGATACATGATTATTTCATTCAAATACGAGAAAAATAACCTATGAAAAGAACGTTATGAGAAAAAAAAATCAGAAATTCAAAAAGCGAGAAATGCGTCACATTGCATAAGATTTCTTGTCATTTCTTACTACAAATAAGTCAAGTTTTCTAAATCTTATGGATAAAAATGGATGTGTTTTGTTAAATCAAAGTTCTATCGTGTACATATTATACCATACACAAAAAGTTCATAGTTCAATCAATACATGGTATGCAATAAGGAATTGAAGAACGAATATAAAAGTCGATTCAAACTACATGAGAAGTATTATAAGTAATAATAGTACGAACTTTCGACAACTTAAATAGTTAAAATTAGGCATGTGTCTGCATCATAATCAATCTCAAAAAAACTTCGGCTGCAGCATTTAGCTCAGTCTGAATTGATCTTTCTTTATTGAATTACACTACTGATTATGGTAATGAACTAGTCGAATTCGATTAGCAAGCTTCGTTTAATAGCAATAGGCAAGAGAAGTTCACATTACACTGTGGGTAGCTAGTAACATAGTATCAGTTGAGAAAGAAATAGTATCTACCGATCATCCATTAAATTCTTCAATTTGTTTTCTATTCGATTGCAGACAGGTTTTATTGAAGATAACGATTAATGATATAACTTCATCAAAAGTTTCCAGTGTCAACGAGTTCGAATCTATAAATAGTTCCCTGAAGTTACCGCGTTAGGTTTTCTCAAGCTGTGATAATTGACTGTCAGTGATTTTCGTTAGCCTTTATAAAAATTCGATACTTCAATAAATAGATTTCGTCTTACACGAATATAAAGCAAGGATAAGGTTGAGAAATCGCCAAGAAATTTAACTTTCTTGACTCTGGCAACTTTTAGTGAAATAGTATTGAAATGTGAATATATAAAAATTAGTCAAAATATTTAATGAATTCCTATAAGCCCTTTAATTTATTTTTGAAGTACATATAATTGAATTGTCTCGTTACATAGCATGCACATTTGAAATTGTAACATCACCTTTGATTTGCAATGCTTGAATAGCTTGATAAGGAATACGGTGTCGAAAGACGAACCATGTTTGATAATTGCAATTGACCTATAACAAGAGAAAAATAATTTGTTGCAGAAAAAGTTTTAAAAAATGTCATCAATTTTTCTAGCCTGGTAATGTTCTGGATAACAGATAATTTGAATTTCAAATGGTTGACCTGGTTGCAATGGAAATCCACCTTGTTTTTCTTCTGTACCCCAGCTACCACCTTGACATGAATTACGTACAGCTTCACGCTGATCAAAACGTGGATTGAAATGAAATGCTACATCAGCTCCAGGATAGGTGTTTGTCAATAAATTGAATTCAAATCGTGACGCATTATTGTTTGAACGACCATTAATATACAATACGCGACCTATGTTTTATTTTCAACAAATATTTATTAATTTACATATTTTATCATAAATAAATATTACCAGGAAACATATTGATAGGAACTGGAGTTTCCTAAAAAGAACAAAGCAAAAAGAATTAATTATGAAATAAATGATATATGAATAATATTCCTAACCATAGCAAATTGTAATGGTTGACCATATTGGTTAAAGCCTGGATAAATTTGAATATTTGTTAAATTGACATCACCTTTGACACTAACTGTATCAGCTGCATTGAATGGTATTCGATAATTAAAATCAGCTACATGTTGACTATTAACGGCAATCTTGAACAATCATCATATAATAGAAAAGTAGTTTTATTCTATTTGAACATGAATCTTACTTTAAAACCTTGTGGTGTAACCATAATGATAATATTAAATTGTTGACCACTCAAAATATTTAATGGCTTAAGTTCTTCGTTGCCCCAATTACCACCAGGTGCAGAGTTCAACACTAATTGCCGATCGTTTACACGTGGATTAACATGTAATATGGTATCACCTCGTTTGTTAGCCAAATTGACTTCGAATCTTTTTAAATTGATGATGAAGTAGAATACATATCAATAAGAAAGAAATTATCAAATAATCTACTTACCGGTTACCAGTAGCAATACCATAAACTTGTATTTGAGAACCATAGCTCAATGGTGGTGAAATACTTGTTTCGAAAGGTACACTCTAAACATAAAAGAGTATACAACGATAACAGATTTCTGCTTTTAACAATAAAGAAAATTAAAGATCACTTACATAGTATTGACTACTTGAATGCTATAAAAATTAAACACATTTATATTTATTAGCTAAAATCTTTCATTTCTACATACTTGGCCCATATTGATTGAAAAGAAATAGTTAGTGTTGTTCTTCTTGTAATAGGTATATAAATTGAAAAAATAGGCTAAAATTGACTTAATTTATACGTCTATACGTTCCCTGACAGCATAGAAAAAAAAAAAAGAGAGAGAGAGAGAGATTGATAAGATGAGAAAACAGTTACTCACGGCATTAATCCTTATCTAATTGATCAAATAAATCAACAAGAAAAAAAAATAGTTGTGCATACAGAGATACTCTCTAGTTTGTTTGGTGTGCACAATTGCAAAGTGGTTTTTTTCAGTAAAAACACAATGACTAACAACGTTATCGAAGACACAATAAAACAGGCTGGTGAAAAAAACGCAGATGATTAACAAGATAAAATTAGTTTTGTTATACTCTCAGGTTCTATTCTTGGTATTTTTAATGGAAGCGATTTTTGAATTGTTGAAAAACAAAAAATAGTCAATGCTTAAAACTAATACTTTCGTTGAGTAGTTCTTCAATCGAAAATACTCTCTATAATATTTACTTTTGATAAATATTATCAATTTAATCGTTTTCTAGGGGAAACGAAAGATCTCTAACATCAAATGCGACGATTTAGAAAAATCGCAAGTATAAAATTCAATGAACATTGTTATTTTCTTATAGCCACAATATCATATTCTTTTTGTTTCTTATTGTCTTTAAATTCTTTTTGAATTTAAGTCAACAAGAGACGTTGAAATCTATTATAAAATTAAAACGAAAATATTTTATTTTTTGAGAGCAAATTGTAATACATAGTCAAAAAAAACAATATGGAAAACTTTATAACCAAGAATTCAAATACATTAAAAAAACTTCATTCAGAATTGTCTTAAAGTATAAATTGAAAATAATTAACTGTTTCACAATTGTCCAATACTACTAACTACGATGTCACCTTTATACTGAAGGGCCATAACCTAAAAAAATAATATATTTTTTGTATGAAGTAAAGATAAACAGTGGAATCCTGTTAGCAATGATACTTACATAACCAGGTGGGATTTTATGATAGAATTCAGCAATAAAATAATTGTTCATAAATACCTAAAGTATTCAATACGTAGAGTAGTTCACATGTAAGATATGTTGAATATAAACCTATATCTTACCGTATATCTATCCATGGTACATGTTATTTGTAAATCAATTGATGAACCTGGTATTAAAGGCATATATGGTGGAAATGGTTGATTTTCTTCTTGACCCCATTGATTATTTTGTCGATAATTTTTGACAATTGTACATGAATCAAAACGAGGGTTAAAATGAAAAGCTATATCATCCCCATCTGAATAACCTTGTAATAGATTGAGTTCAAAGCGATTAGCACCATGAGGAATAAAACCTCGTACAAAAATACGAGAGCCTGTATGTATTCTACATGATTGTATTGATGGCATCCCACTACCCTATATTTGATTATTACTTTAATAATGTTTTAAGCAAGATTAATACAATATACAAACCACAAATGGTGGAGGAGCTGATGGAAGGCCAAAACCAGCGATAAAGTTTCCACCAGAACATGGTTGAGATGGTGGACAAAAGCCCATGCCACCACTCATAGAACTTGATCCTGCATAAACTTGAACAGATTCTAAATTAATATCACCTTTAACTTCAACTAATTGAGCCAAATACATTGGTGTTCTTTGATAAAATTCACAAATATGAGCATTGTTTACAGCAATCTACAATAAATCATAAAATGAATGTATATTGAAATTTATTTATTAGAATAATTTTGGCATACTTTGAAGCTACAATTCGTTGCTAAGATAACCATTGTGAATCGTACGCCACGATAGATTGGTAATCCATAGCGTTCTTCTTGTCCCCATAATCCATGCTGAGCTAGATATTGAAAGAAAACACTTCATCAATATGAGAACATTTATTTTTATCATACCACTATTGAGAATTAGGGCATTATCATCGAAACGTGGATTAAAATGTAAGACAACATCATCTTGATAATTTTTTAGATTGACTTCAAATCTATATTATATATACATATTTATTTATTTAAAAAAATTGATTCTGTTGTATTTATAAACAGAGAGACCTGTTTCCAGTAGCTATACCATTGACATGAATTTGTGTACCATTTGACAGTGCAGGTGAAATGAGGGTTTGATAAGGTACAGGCTAGTAAAAATGAATAAATAATTATGAAGCAAACAGGAAAATAATTCAAAGATTATTTACTAATCCATAGTTCATGCCAACTGAAATATTTGGATACATTATATTTAGAAGTAGAAATTAATTTGATAAAATGAATGCACAAAGAAACAAGCAAAATCGATTATAAAATGATCCTTTTTTCTCGTTGTATAGATATGTTTCGATTGTTATCTATATTTGTCAACTCAGACACCACAATATGCTTATTATTTTCTTTTGCTTTCTTCACTTCTTGAAAGCCTTTTCTCGTTTGTTCTCATTTCTGCTTTTTTTCTGGTATTGGCAAAAGCCTTTTAAAAGAGCAATCAGTATTAGCCAGGTGATAAACGACTTGATTAGTCATATCACCATATTACATATACATGTGCACCTTTGAATATAAGAAAACTGTAAATAGTCGTGAGAAAGTCTTCTTTAAGAACAAGCTAGAGGAGTAGCTTACTGTCATCCTCAGTAATGATGTTTATTGAACTACTTCATATGAGACAATTCAAGTAAACCACCGTCGAAGATGCTTAATTGATGTCGTTCAATTTTGGTCAGTTTAATATGTGTTGTAGAGTGGAAAATTTTACGAATTATGCTGCAAGTAGTTTTAAAAAATACTAAACTCTCAGTTTTTGATGAGCGTTCTATGAAGAAACTCCAAATAATAAGTATTTTTATTAAGAAGTTCTGGCCGGCTTATATCTCAAGAATGGCTGGACCAACTAAGCTATAACTTCCTCTGAACATATATCTCAATGAGTTCTACTCAACATGAAATTATCGTCTACGAACATTCAGTCATTGAAAGTTTTTGAACCGTCGAGTAGATGCAAAAATGCACATTTTTGACAACTTTAGTATTTCATAACCTTTGATTGAAATCAGGCAGAAATCTGAAATTCTTTACCATAGGTAAAATACTTAGAGATATATCTCCCCTAAAAATATTAACCTTGCACATCGTTTCGTTTGATAAAAAGGAGATTCTCTGCAAAAGGGTTGCTGATGAAAAGTGGAGTTTTTAGATGAAGCTACCTTCCGAGAAATAGAATAGTTTAGGTGTTGATATTTAGAAGTACACTCTGTGATCTACATTCCCATAAAATAGTGAAGGTGTGGTCTCTAGAAAAGATTTCCAGTAGACGTTATCTTTGGTTGGCTAATGTGAGATAGTTAAGTTGTTTATAGGAGCTTTTGCGTTCAATTAAGGTCTCCCCCTCCCCCCTCCCCCTCAGAATCGACTTGCCACTTAGAACGGTCCGTTTGGGCTGAAAATTTCAGGAATGAGTGGTACTAGTGAGAAACGCTTATGGTAAAAATTTCAGCCTTCTATACCTTACTAAACTAGACTTTCGGCTTGTTTTATAGCTTCCACAAGAATCGAAATAACTTCATGGCTATAAGAGGTATCGAGGTCGGGCTGGTTGCAAATTAAAGTTAGCCTCTGTGCGCAACTTTTCATCAGACAGAATTTTTAAATTTCCTCCCATTCATTTTTTATAAGCATTTCAGTGGACATGACTTTCAAAGTAGGCCTAAAAACGGTCAACGGACGACAGCAAATCTAACTTTTCTTAGTCGAGGAGTCAAGTATCAAAAATCCGTTCGATCAAAAGTTAGCTCTCGTCAAGACCTTTAAAATAAAAAAAAATATCGGGAGCACCACCGAGCCAAGCGGAAGTTATTTCAATTTTCCTGTCTGGAAACCATGTTTTGAGAAAACCGCTAAAGAAGTTTTAGAAATGGAGTTTTCAGTCAAATGCAGGAAATAATGGTATATTGTGATAATATTTATGTGGAATTTTTGAAAGCACGCAATAGATGGTGTAAGCTAGCACTACAGGTCGTACAACATGATATAAGAATGTTTATTCCATGTTGATAGAAGTAAAAAACGAGTCTTCCCAAAAATAACAAAAACTGCGAAAATCTCTCAGAAAACCGGGTAGTGAGGTGGAAATCTCCTACGAAAGTCTGTAAAAATTTGACCTTTTTTTAAAAATTTATATATATTCTGAAAGAGGAAACTTCGCTGCATCTTCCTATGATAAAAATTCGACTTCGATTACTTTACCAAAAAATGGATTTTCTGAGGGGGTGGACCTTAATAACCTTACTCTAGTTATTGGTTCGTGATAATTTTTGATGAAGAACATGATAATTATATTTCTCTCTTTTTATCTCGAACTCACTGCACGAAAATAAAAAAACAGTATGGAAATTGATCGAACACCTTTTTGGAAACATGCAATTCACTTTTGCTAATACTAAATAACGACAACTTGAGGATGTAGCTGTAGATGTAGACGCGAATCTGGATGTGATTTTTCTTTTGGACACACCCACATCCATTCTCAGAGAACAATTGAAAATCTAATCGTCTAACTTTTAATGAGAGTTGTTGATTGGAAGTTGTTCACTTTTATTGCTGAAATATTTTGAGATTTATAAGGAATTCCATAAAGGCTTAATTTGTAGATAGAAGTTAACATTATTTTACAAATGAGATACAAGAAAAAATAACTTTTGAAAATAATGCGAAATGTGCTCAGTATACAATGCCAGCATTTATCAAGTATTATCTGCAGAAAGAAGGAAAAGTAACGACACGAATAGCAATTATCATAAACGATCAGTGTACATTATGCTCGTTAATACATTTATCAGTTGTAAAAGAATCCAAGTCCGATATAATAGTATTTCTTGTTTTTACGAGAAGAAAAAGAAAAAAAAACCGTTCAATGTATTCGGTATTGATTTGCACACATGTAAAGTCATAGTGTATGTGCGTCAAAATAGCGAAGATTGAATCATTATCATATGTAAACGACAAAAAGTAATATTGTTATCCGGTTGAATATTAACTTTTCTTCATCCAACGAAATTTTAAATATAAACGAAGTTTTATTGTTGTTATTTAATTAAGCGCAAACTTTATCGTGTTTTGCTTTCTTGGTTTGATAAAATAAAAATAAAAAGATGGCATGCCGAACGATGCAATAATACTATTATTTTTATATTTAATTCTTTTTTCTTGGAATTAAGTCTTCAATAAGCCAGAACTATGATCGATGGCTATCTTAGAATTACAGTTTCTACTATTAATACTGTTTGATGAACATCAGATCATTTTTACAATGGTTTGCTCCTGGCTTATTAAAATTTTATTATGTTTCTCACATACGTACCATAGTAAAAGAACACGACAACAAAAATCGACATCGAATTTCATCATGAGGAACGTAGAGAAAAGGTCAACAATTTCATTATACCCATCATCCATCTGTCATATATTTTCACCACCGCTAAAAGTTTGCATGTTGGGAAAAATTCGTTGCCGAATACGGACACAACCACTAGCTAATAATTGTAATATAGTGCCATTATCGATAGCATTATCCAAACAGCAACTTGTTGCTCATTCTTTGAATGAATCTCAAAACTGTGCCGAAGCATTACCTTATGAATGTACCTCTTCAATCATTCATGGAAAACAATATCCTAGTTTGATCGCCATTGACATTGATGATAATGAATTACCACAAGAACAAACGACATTTACATATGTGAAACAGCCAACAGAGTTTTGTTTTCCAATAGATAAATCAAAATCGAACAGCAAAACTCACGTGAATCGGTAAGAAAACCAGAAGTAAAATTTAGTTAGTTTTACTTCTTTTTTTTTCTCTACATATACATAGACAATCACTCATCAAATTAGGTAGTAGTTGTAGTTGTGTGTCAATTTCTTCATATTGTGATCATCATCATAGAAGTCATATTTATCGGTGCTTATCTTTATCTATTCCATCTATTCGCAAACGAAGAAATGATTCAATCATATTTACTCATCAACATAGATATTCTACTAATCACCTGAATTACTTCATTTCAAAACAACAATCACTATCTGACTATTCACCTCAAAATATGAATTCAATAACGTATGATTCATCGTTATTAACTGATCAAACTATCAATATATCCAATTCGAAAAGTGACATTTTCACTCCAACTAGTAAAAAAGTTGACAAAACATGGCGACTTAAAATACAGGATCATTTAAACAAAGATGGTAGCCGTCACTTTGTTATGCATAAAGGTATGTATATATATATGTATATATATATATATATATGCATATAATATCGGTATGTGTACCTGGATCAATGGTCAGACTGCGGTTGTATTGGTGATCATAAAGTAACACCCACGCGTTGCCCTTGAACATAATACTCTTACTTCACACTTTACAACCGCCAACACCTACCTATTCGTTCAAATAGTTTGAGTTGAAAAAGTGAACTTAAGAGCTCTAAGTACACTTTTGATTATTTTCCTATTGTCGGAAAAATCTTGCTTTCAGTAAGTAAAATAAATGATTGTGCAGTATTCAAGGATTCTCACTAATATAAAAATAACAATAAAAACCCGCAAATTTTTCAACTTCTTTATTATAATTTTCATTAAGGCAGCGAAGAATCTATACGTGAACGTCGTCAAAAAAAACGTGCTAAACGATCTGAGGAAAAGAAACGTAAAATAGAAGAAAAAATAAATAAAGCAAATCAACGTTGGCAAAAATATTCCAATATTGATTATGAACTTGTCTTTTTCATTTCACGATATTATGATCAATTACCATTATGTTTAAATTGTCGAAATTATTTTACAACTCATCAAGTACAATTTTTAGCCGATGATCCTCGCGCATCACTTGACTATGCAGCTGAAGACGTTTTACGTTCATCAAGTAATAAAACATTAACACTGAAAAAAGCAGCTAAAGCAAGATTAATTAAAGATTATGATAAACAAACAAGTATTATATTTAATCTTTGTGATACATGTTTAACTAGATGTGAACAAATTCGAAATGAACTCAAACAAATCAATTATTCTCAAAAAATGTCAAATGAATTTAATTCACCAAATCTCAATATGATGACAATGACAACACCTGATTTACAACAACAAATCATTGTACCGCCTTCTCCCAATATCCTCAATATTGATAATTATTCCTATTCACCTTCTAATTCCCCCTTTGTTTCACCTTCAACATGGAATACTGATTTAAATCATCAACAAAAAATAACTTCTCCATCGCATCAAAATACAATCGCTGGTTAAACATTCTTTTTTTGGTATAATTAAATTGTGTTTTTTTTTGTACAATCTAGATTTTAATCAACTTTATGTAAATAATGCTATACAATATCATCAAATAAAATTACAAGAACTCTATCAACAAAGTCAAAATATTATTATTGCTCAACAATATCAAGAAAATTATCCATTAACAATTGATCAACAGCAATTACATCATGATCTTCAGTCATGTATAAGACAAATGCAGTATCATTGTCTAGAAACATTACATCTTCAATATCCTGGTTATTCACTTTCATTTCCATATACACCATCATACAGTCCAAAATATTTGTCCTATCGATGTCAAGAGATCGATGATGAAAGTATTGATTCGGAAAATTCTTCCTTTATCAGCGAGAAAGATAATGACAATCAAAGAAATGTGAATATTGAAGACGAAAGTGATACTTCTATTACTACTAGTAGTGATAACAACAGATTTTGTACAGATGAATATGATGGAAATCAACCATCGATGGATGATCGACTTACAATAGAAACATGTCATGGACTTGTTGAATATTATCGTAAGTTAATAAATCAAAACAATCTCAATAAAAAGAGAAGTTCTTCAAATGATTAATTGCTTTCAAGTCGACACTCTATGCGCATCATATAGATCCTAATGAACTGTGAACAAAGTTCGGCTTTGCAACTTACTTGTGCGGAAATACTGTATTTTTACAGAATTTTTTTTTGTAAGTGAATACCATGATTTCCGACAGGAATTTTAGGAGAACTGATTTTTGAGTTTCGATTTGAAGCTTTACAAAGAGACAAGTCTTAACGAAAATAGTTTATTGTTCAAGTTTCAAGTTCAATGTCTTCATAGCTCATTTGAGTCTACATGACGTACATAGTTCTAATTCAAAAGCAATTTACAAGTTATCATCGAGAAAATACAATTATATTTTTCATTACTAATAATTCAATTAAATGAAATAATAGAATCTTTTCTTGGTATCTGATCTATCATCAATATTTGTTACATATGCACGTCAAAGTTTCTCTGGATTTAGTATCGTATAACTAAGGTTGAAACAGACAAAATAAAGCAATTATATATGCATTAGGCAAGTTTTTTTTTTCAAATAAAAAAGAGGTTTTAATCTGAAAATATGAAGTAGAACCAAATAGTAGTTACTTGAATCTGCGAAGTCAAAAATAAAAGATGAAAATTTAAAGAAATATATTTCTTTTTCTTTTAGATGCACCATTGGATGATTTCATTCGAGGACTTCAAGTTTTGAAATGTCTTAGCATTTTCAATCGTTATTCGTCCTAATTCAGCTATAGATAACAAATATCAAGATGAATATTGAAAAAAAAAATTATTTATACATCTAATCATCCATTCTGTATAGTGTATTTGAACAGAAGCACTTATCCTTAAACATCATCATGTTATAGATAAGAAGTATTCAAATGTGGTGATTCATTATTGGAACTTTTTTTAATTTTAATTTTTCTTGCTTGATTTATTTATCTGTTCTTTGTGTACACAACACTATCTACTATATATTGCATGCATTTCAAAAGAGTCATTCATATTTAACTGTGGCAGAAATATAAATGATTATAAAATTGTATGGATATTGCATTTTATTTGTTCTAGTATTGCCTACAAGCACCCATTATCGAAAGGGTAATTATTTATCGTTCCTTAAGGTTTTCTTCTTAGGTATTACCTATTTGAAAAAAAGATGTTCCATAAAATATATTATAAAATCTTCTTCAATGATGCTGATAATGAGAAAAATATTATGGAAATATATATTTCAATAAAAACTTTTCTTAATAATTCTTCTATTTTATTTAGATGACAACCAATTTGAGACAAGTAAACAGCATATAATTATCTTTCAGATTATCTATTTTTATCTTATCATAGAATTGAAGACTATCCTTTGAAATGTTACTTCTCCATGTAACCATAATTCAATATGGTTATTATATAACTACAGTTACAATTAATTTTCTTTGAAATATATTACAAGTTAAAAAATTTATTCAACCATGATTCGTGATGAAATACATAAAGTATTTTTTTTTTACAAAATGAACCATCTGATAATATAACTCGTATACACATATGTTTATATTCCTTTGTAAGTAGAACAGATTTTGATGATCCTCAAAGTATTCAAGCGAATCGTGCCAAACTTTGCTTTATTTTTTTTTCTAGCATACGTCCCCGACTCTTTTATCGTTATTGTGAATACCAAATGAAAATGATTCTTGTAAAATAATCATCTAAACAAACTATTCATGTTGTTTTTGATAAAATGAAATATGAAAACATGTGAATATAAATTCACTTGTTTTCATAGTTCTATAAATTTAAAATTTATTTTCTCTTGTTTTTGTTTGTCTAATAATAGTTTATTACTAAAATAAGAAACAACTAGTAAACAGCTAACTCCATTGTGATCCATCAACTTCTATTCCTTGACGCCATGCAATTAAACATACTTTCACTTTATTTTTAAGTGATTTTTCATCAAAGACTTTATAAACAATGATTCTTTTCGAATTGTACTTTGCACCTTCTGTACGTGATACAACTAAATCGATAATATCACCTTCTTTAACCTTAAATGTATTAATATTAGATCAAAGTTCATTATAAAAATGAATTCAATATCATACTTGTTGTGCTTTTTTTGTGGATTTTTCACCATTAACACGCAATTTCGAACCATAGAATTCATCTTCAATTGCACTATAGATACAAAATTATTTGAAAACAAAAAAAGAAATAAACAAGTAATTTTCCGAAATTTTTACCTTCGTCCTATACCAGTACCTGCTGAACAGATAAGATCGAGACGAAGTGAAGCAAGATGTCGAATGATTACTCGATAACCTTGATATCAAACAAAAAAGAAAACTGTTTTTTGTTCGTTCAAAATTTTCAAATAACCTTTTGGAAGTTTATATTGTTGAATACGATTTCTTATTTTTTCTTGTTCATCCTATAATAAAGTCAATCTATTGATAAGCAAGTAAAAGATAAATAGTTTTATATAAAAACACACAAAAACTTGATATTACTTGATCTGTTTCATTATTCTGTTCATTTTCATTTTCATTTTCTTCTTCATTATCAAATTCTTCTGTAACATTTGAATCTATTTTATCTCGACGTCGATTATAAACAATAGTCGAACAAGAAAATAAACGAATCTGTTGTATTCTATCTTCAACATTAGAATATACATTGATCGGTAGTACAGATCGAAATGACATTTGAGAAAATGGAAATAATATTCGACAACATTTATTTACTAATAACGGTGAACGTAATGTTGAAATAAGACGTAGAGTAGACATCTAAAAACATTGTTATATAATTCATCTTTTATTCGAAATGTCTTCTTTCTTGTCTTTTTAAGTTCAACAAAAGTTTTCAAAAGATATTTGAATATAATATAAATTAATATATATCTATAGAACATCACCAGTAGAGGTACAGAAGAAATTGATACCGATAACAAATAGTAAATAAATAACCAACAGGTATGAAATCAAGAAGAAGAAAAAAAAAAATTGTACAAGAATAACAAAAAAGAAAGATTAATATCACTAGAAAAAAAAAAGATTTGTTATTTTTTTTTTAGTTATTTTCATTTAAATGTATTTGAGGTTCTTGTTGACGTTTTATAAGCCATTCAAATTGATCAGGTGATGTTAATTGTATAGCAGCTTTTCGTTCGACAGCATTCGAATATAATTTTTGCCAATCTTCATTTATCTATTCAACAATATAATTTGTCAATTTTATTATGAAAACAATAAAAAAAAAATATTTACATTTAATGAATTCATATGACCTAATATAAACATTGCATATTTTGCACGAGTTAATGAAACATTTAATCGTTGTCGATTAGCAACAAAACCAATTCCTATTGTTGTTGTTGTATCAGTAATTTGTGTAGCACGAACACATGATAGAAGAATAACATCTTTTTGTCGACCTTGAAAAGCATCGACTACATAGAAAAAAAAAAAAGAAAACCAAAAATACTGAAATATGTCTTTTCTATAAATGATTAAACCTGTTCCAATTTCAATTTTATGCTGATGAAGATTCTGTTGCATAAGTCTTTGTTCAATAAGTTTAACTTGGTAATTATATGGAGTAATAATACCAATTTCTAATTAAAAAAAAAAAAAAAACAAATAAATAATTTTATTCAAAAAACAAAATAGAAAAATAACTTACGATTGAATGGTACTTTTGCTCGTTCATTAATAAATTGTACTAGATATGCAACCATATTTGCTTCAAGTGGATTTCCATAAGATTGTGTAACAGAATCAAGTTGATCTTGACCATTAACAATATCGAGTATCATGTATGGTTTTAATAGAAATTTTTTTCTAATCGACAAAAAAAAAATGAAAAGAAAAACAAATATAACACAAATCGAATTATTATAACTCTATACCGTTTTTGATTTGTTATTTTATCTGTTTTTAATTTTGAACGATAAATATGCATTGATGGAAATTTACATATTTCATCATGCATTCTATATTGCTAAAAGAATTTTCATTCAATGAATAATAAAAATATCAAAATATAGTATAATCTCTCTATAATGAACATTAAAAATGTTTCCCCGAACTTTACACTTTCGAGAAGTTTTCGATATTTTGTTTTGAAATAGTTGTTCAAAATCTATTCCGTACGCTCTCTCGGCCTCATATTGTATTGAAATGTGTTGAAGGCAACTTCTCTTGTCAGTTGTCGTGAAAGCTTTCAATTTCGGTGATTATTTGTTATTTTTGTGAAAGAATTAATGATAGAACTTCTTTTGCACATCTTGTAGTCAAAATATACGTCAGTCGGTCCTAGCTAGATTTTATTGAAGAGAAATCAAAAATTTCGATCGCTTCATGAGTAGATTAAATGAAAGTTTGTTTTAATCCTTTCTTTCTCTTGTTTGTTGGGCTATCTTCACTCGATTGTTCTTCTATGTTCGCGTACGTCGCCTAATAGTGTCGCATGAATCCACTAGGAGTGACTATTCAGCGGTTCCCTGTAAAGTAACTCTCAAAATGTTGTCGTCTTTCCATTGGTACAAAAAGTATGGAGATAGGATACATTTTTTGAGAAAATGGGAGATACAGTTACTTTTCAGGGTAACTACAAATGTCCAATCCTACCATCAATATACACCATGCTTCTTGTCCTTTTTTTCTAAACTATATATTCATCGCTCGTACACACCTTTTGTGTGCTTAGTTAGTATTTTCTTGCACAATCGCTCATGTAGAACTGTTCTATTCAACGTACAAGTACTAGATATAGCTCTATCGACGAGAAAAATGAAGTTTCTAAAACTTTGGAAAGAGAAAAATCCAGAAAATATTGTAGCGTAGTAATTTTTCGAAGACTCTCGTGTTTGGGATTTTTCGAATTTTGAAACAATACCGAAAAAGTGGCGTGAAATTAAAAGATTATCTTTGTTGCAGAGATTTTCCGCTCTGGACTAAAGCAGAAAATTGTCCACGGTAGAATCCATCGGGACTGTATGGGCTCTGGTTCACAGTCAAGAATATAGAAGTGTTTATATTCGAGAGAACCGGCAAGTGTTCACCATAGGGAGTAAATATAACTTACTATATTCAGCATACGAATTGGATTGTTTAAATCATATTTAAATAATCTATAAAGTCGTTCGAATAATGATTGATTTAAACCAGCTTCAAGTGCTCGTCGAGATAAAATAGTTGCAGGACTATTAAAAAAAAGCATTTTATATAAGACTATTATAAAATATGATAAAGAAAACAAAAAAGTATTTACAGTTGTTCAGGATCACCAACAAGTACAATTCGATTCATTCCAAGTCGAAGAGGAATATAATTATCAATTTCTATACATTGACCAGCTTCATCAATAATTAAGCAATTAAATAGAGTTGATACTATTGAAGATGATGATGATGTTGGTAAGTTTTTTAGTTTGTCATTTTTATTCAAGTGACTATTTGTATTAAATGGCGAAAAAGCATCAAATATTGCATTTCCAACATAATTAAGAGTTGAAATACAACTAATTAATAAATACAAAAATTAAATGATAAAAGACAAATAACAAATAAATAAATAAATATACATGTCAGCATCTTGTAATAATTCTAATTTTATTTCACGTTCACGTTGACGTCGAGCAGATTCAGGCATTGTCTGAAAACATTATAAATATACAAATACAAAAGTTAATTAATGTTTTTTCGAAAAATCTGAATACCTTTCGACATGTTTGTTGTAATTTTTGAATACTTGCCGTTATTTCTTTTAAATTTAATTCTAAATCTTTTAACTAAATAAATAGAAATTTAAAAAAGAAACATCTAATTCTTTTCTTATTAAATATCAAAAAGAAATAACCTCTTCAGAAGTTTGATTATTCGCAGATGTTGTTTGTTGTTTCTTTTTTTCATCTTCAATTCTTTGTAAAAGTTGTTTTTTCTGTTTTTCTTTATTAGCTAAATTTCGTTCAATAGCTTCATTTTGTCCACCAGTATTTAATACTAAATCAAATAATAAACATAAAAATCGAAATATTTGTTTTTGTTTTTGTACAATGTTAAACCTTCTTCAAGACGTTTTTGAGCAAGCACATCAAGCGATAGATTTTCAATATCTCGACTTACACCACCACCACGTGCACAACGAATTAATTTGAATGGTACTAAATAGTTTTATAGAAAAAAAAATATATTCATTATTGAAATCGATTTTTTTCTTTGTTTTTATTTTTTTTTGTAGATTTACATTTCGATGCAGCTTGATCAGTATTTGAATCAGTTGTTTTACGTGCAAATACATCAATTAAACGACGAACTATTTCATTACAACCACCATTTGAAGGACAACATATTAATATTTTAATTTTTTTCTTTGATGTATCAGATGATGATATTGTTAGAGGTTGATCATTTGAAGTAGATGAAGATAATGTTGGCTAGAAGATTAAAAAAAAATCATGTTATTTTAGATCAAATCAACATGATGATTGTTTACTTGTAAAAGGGCTCTGACAATGCCAGTAATTGTTTGAGATTTACCTTTATAAGAATTAGAAAAAGTAAAATTTTTCAGTCAAATTAAGTTTCATCTCAATTACCAGTGCCAGGTGGTCCTTGACACATATAAATTTTTGCTTGATCATCGTCTTTTGTATCACGTATCATTGAAACAGCTTCAGCAATAACATTTCGTTGAGATTCATTATAAGCCTTGAATATAAAAAAAAAAAACGTTAGTAAGATATTGAAATATTTATAGCTTTTTTTCACCTGATAATATTTTTCTTCCATACAATTTTCTTGTTTATTTGTTATTTGAAATATATTATCATTTAATGATGGACTAAGTAGATGTTCAAATAAAGGACATGAACGCATCGATGCAAGAGCTTTAAAACGACGTAATGTAGCAGTTAATGAAGTAATGGCCTAAAGTAAATAAGAAATTTCTTCATTTTAATTACATGTTATTTTACTACTTTAATCTTTATTTTAGATCCATCATGAATCTTCATTCCATTACCAAATATGCGAATATTATATTCATGACATATCCATACTGGTGGTTGTATTTTCACATCAGGATGATCGACTAGCAAAAAAAAAACAAAAGGAAAACTATACTCTTTTTTGCTTTTAATTTTTTTCATCCTTTTTATTAATAATTTTATTCAACAAGTATGCGGAATATTGAGGTGTTTGCACTTAAATCATTCCGGCTATATAAATGCTGATGTTACATGAATAATGAGGTCGAATCAGAGCTGAGTATCGGGCGGGACGGTCCCATCTTTCTGTCTTGCAGGATAAGACGAAGGTAGAATTTTTATCTTGTCCTGCCGCTCTGTGGGACAACAACAATAGGCCAGAAAAGATGGTTCTGTGTTTGATCTAATTGATTTTAGAACTCTTGCATAATATGTACAGTTGTCAATGATACTTGAAACTTTTTAAGAACGAGGGTATGATGGCATTCTCTCACACTTCACCTCACATCCACACAGGGATGTTTCGAGTACAGGTGACCCCACAACATTGAAAAATTTCTGTTTCTCTCCAGTAAAGTTCTATCTTTTTATTGCTTCATGGTTGTTCATCAATTCCTGAAAAAACGTTCACACCTCAAAATCTGATCAACTTTAACAAACATCTTTTATTCTGCCTCTAGAATCATTGTCCCTTCCACAATTCTGACGACTTCGAGACGCCACTGAATCCACATCTTTATTATTAAACCAATATGTACGTTGATGATTAAAACCCTTTGCGCAGAACAGGACAGAAAAACGTATATCTGTGCTTAGCTACGTATTGAATAATAAAGTAATAAATAAAACAATTGACAAAGGAGATAGACCTACGATATGATTTATGTAAACGTGCTTTATCTGTAATTCGTTCTCCACTTCGAACAAGACCAAATATTTTGTTTATTGGTTGATTTGACAAAGTAATAACAACTAAATCATCATCACTAAACATATCTCGATGTTGATTATTAGTAGGAGTTCGTTTGTGTAATACTTGACTATGAAGTTCATAAATTCCTGATTTTAAAAGACGTACTTGATGAAGAACAGCATCGAGTTCTACTCCGGCTAATTTATGATCATTTAATTTTGTACTTCGTTTGATCTATTCAAAAATAAAAGATTTATATAAAATAGACTATAATTGAGTAGTTTTTATTTTTTATTCACTTCTTCGAATGTTTCTTCGAATAACCAAGGTAATGTAATTTCTTCATATTCATCAAATGAAGAATAAAGTTCAAGTAATGGTACTGGATAAGTATTTTCACCAAGAAACTCTTTATATAAAATACTAGTTTCAGGTTCTATTAATAAAAATAAATTAATATTATATTTATTTAATCAAAAAAGAATAAAATTAATATAATCAAACCTAATTCATCAATTAATGAAACAGGCCATTTGAGAATATAAATAAGATAATCATCATATGTATGATTTTTCGTTGGTTTGAGTTTTTTTTCATTTATATTTGTTGATGTTGATCGAAGTGGTAATATACTTGATATAGACGATGAAGATTGTTGTACAGTAGTTAAATTAATACTAGAACTAGATGATGCTGAGGATGAAGTAACAGTTGTTGTATCTGTTGTTGTTGCATTAGTTAGTGTTACACGAACCATTGTTTCAGTCATTTCTAGTACTAATTTTTCAAATGCATTCTTCGGTGGCTGTAATCACAGAAATTCTCAGAAGAATGAAAGTTTTATTATATATTAATTAAAACCTTTTCTGATGTTCGAATTTTCTTTGATACTGAAGAATCATTTTCATTAGCTTTTCGTTTTACTGGGACCACTGGATTTTTTGTTTGATTTACTATTAATAATTAACGAAATTAGTTTTTTATCGATTTTTTAAAAGTAAAACTTTCTTACGTTTTTCATCATTTGCTGTTGTTGGCTTTGGTTTGCGCATTAATTTTTCACGTACTCTCAATTGTTCTTCAGCAACGATTTGTGTCATTGGAACTTGTTCACCACGTGCTCGACGATTGCGTAATGTATTTAATATTGATTTTGTTCTTTCACTGACTGTTTCTAATCAAGAAAATGTTGTTAAAATATTAATTATTAGTAGAAAGAAAATAACTTACGATCTCTTGGAGCAAAAGAATTAAAATCAGGTTTACTATTAGGTATTTTTTTCACAGGTGGTCGAATAATCGATGGAGATGGAAGATCCAACGGAACAATATCTTCATCACTACTATCATTAGCCGGCCGTTTTTTCGACGATGAAACAATAGTATTTAATTCTTGTTTCAATCGATCATTTGAAGAAGGAATATCACTAGTACTGACTGAATCTGCATACGAATTTTTGTAGAAAATCGATGTCCGAGTGATAAATTGACCTTACTTTTGAGTGGTTTCGATAAACATGATGATGCATTGATGGCAGAAGAGTCTGGTTTTTTAAAAAATGTACGTATATCCGAGTTATTGATTTGAGGTTCTAGAATAATGATACAAAACAAAAAAAGAAGAACGTATTGTATTTAACTGAAGTATTCTACAATAGAAATAATCTTTAACTAACAGTCAAATATGAAGCTTTTTCATCGAATTAATGTCTTTAAAGTTGTAACGAGAAAATTGTTCGAAGTAATTAATCATTTTTAAGTTTAAACTCTGTGCTTAATGTGTATCCTAGTGAGATATGAAAAACACCGAGCGAGTAAGCTTGAATTGACCTTTCTTGTCAGAATTCTAGCCATTTGATTGAAATTTTAGTCTATGACATGGTATACACCAATAAATTGAATAACACTATTTCAATCTCAGATTTTGCTCATATTTAGACTTATTAGTAACGAAAATTTTCTAATAATTTTAGTTAAATAAAATGATTCAGTAAGGAGATATTGAATTTCTGACAAAAAAAAACGTGAGATTTTTGCATTGTTTGTAGAATATAAGTGCTTCTTAGAAATTCAATATCTACTTAATAAATCATTCTATTTAACTGAAGTTTTCAGAAATTTTAGTTACAAGCAGACCTACTTATGGACGAAATATTAGATCGAAATAGTATTATTCGATTTATTGGTACATCACGTGTCAAGCGTTAAAATTCCAGTAATATAGCTGTAACTCAGACGAGAAAGACAAATGAAGTCTTATTGTTCTGCGATTGTTTTCATATCTGACTGAAATTTATCCTATGCAGAGCTCAAACTCAAAAAAGAATTAATTATTTGTAACATTTTCTTCTTAAAAAATTTGAAAAACAAAATAAATGCCCACCTCTTGTTTTCTTTGTATTTTCTTCGACTTGTTTATTTTGTAATGCTTGTTCAAATTTTAGGGCACTAGTCAATAATTCATCATCACTCACACTTGGTGTTAATTCTGTTTTTATTGTTGTTTTTGATTGTTGTATAAATCGTGAATTATTACTAATATTATTATTACCAGTTGTCGGTAAATTTTTTATTCGTTGAAAAAAGTAGCTTGACATGATTATCTGGCTAATATCAAATAATATTTATACGTATTGGAAAATTGTAATCGAAATATTTTTAGCTTTATTAACCATCTAAAAATTCATTAAAGACAACAAGATGCAGAAATATGTTTTATGTATATATATGTATATCCTCTATGTTCAAAGCTTTGTTTCTGTTCAAACGACTAAAAACGAGTCTAAATATGAATAAGTAATAGTTAATACATATAAAGACAATATCAGGAAAAAAAGAATAAATATGTGCATAAAAACGTATAGACTCCTAAAGACAAACAAACAAACAAGAAAAAGAGACGAAATCGAATCACATTTCTTCTAGTGTTTTTCGTACACATTCGCTAACTTTTTTCTTAAAGGCTGCTCGATCATCTCGCCACATAATCGATGCATCAATATTGGCTGCTGAATCACAGTTTGGATCGCTGAGCATCGAAAGAACAGATAGCAAAATTGTTTCTAAGAGAAGAAAAAACAAATGAATATAATCAAAAAAAGCAACGAAAAGTAACATCTAAACATACCAACTGATTGTACAGGTGACCAACGTTCTGATGCACGTTCATAACCAAACTGATCGGCACCAGGTTCATGAAGCTGCAGAAAATTTATTAACAACTCAAAACAGAAAAAAAGTATAGAACTTACAATTGATATACACACATCACCATTTTTTTCAATATTTGGATGCCAAATTTCCGAAATAAATTTCTATGATAAAAATATTAAGCATAAATTACAAACAAATCAACTAAACTCATAGCACAATCCGTATGTGATTAGAATGTGAAACACGTGCTTGATCTGCATATATTGTAAACCAAAGGTTTCCAGAAGAACTTACAATGTACTGATATATCTGTGATGAAAGATGTTTTTCGATATATGTTACAGTAAGTTTAGAAACAGAACCAAAGACAAGTAATCTTAAATTCAATCTTCTTTCATAATAATCCTAGAGAAGGTTTTAAGTCGGTGACTACTTCTGCTACAGGCTCTGATGATAACATTCTTTTATAATTTAAGCACGACAGATAGTGCTAGGTTACGCCATCTGTTATGAACGCTCAAGAGTTCTACTTAAATATGCTGTAGATATGCCTTTTTCATGCTCGTTTATCTGGATTTGAATGAAAATAATTCATGTATAAACATTGTTATCATTTTTCTCGCAACATGGTTTTCAATCAGAAAAATTGAAGCTACCTCTCATCCAATTCAAGATATTGAGAGAATTCTTTTTTGTTTTCAAAATCTAAATGAGAACAAATTTTTGTCTGACTAGACTTTTCATAGTTGATCTCTTTGTTGAGAAAAACGAGATTTAGTGTCATGAAGTTACTATTTTTTCTGCTTATTTTAACAGCATATGTACTAAAATGATTAGTAAAAAATTAATGAAAATGAATTTCAAAATTCTACTGTGACAAAAGCTTGGCAGAGATATTAGCTTTAATTTAAAATCATCCTGAGTCTTGGATCTCTTTATAATAATGAAGTTATAAAGATTCTGCTAGAGGCCATAAATGGACTATAAATAAGCTGGAAGTTCAATTTTGTTTGACATATCGGCTGATATTGTCACCAGAAGTGTTTCTTACTAGGCCCACTCATTCATCAAAACTTCAACTTAAATGAACCATTCTAAGTGATAAATCTACCGTGAGAAAGAAGATCCTTTCAGATCATATTTCAAAAAAAAAAAAACAGAATACTAAATCTTACCATTTTGGGTGGTTTTATGGGGTATTCTTTGGGAAAGTCCAAACGTGCTTTGAAGAATCCACCTAATCATAAATATTTCATAATCATATTTTCATAGAGAAAAAGAATCTACCTTCATATAACGTATCCGCTGGCCCAACAAGGATGACATTCCATGCATATGGATTCGATTCATCAATTAGACCAGCACTAATACCTTCGACGGGATGACGATTAAATTCACGTAACTGTTTAAGTAAAAGTAATGCAGAACCATCCATTAGAAAAGAAAAATCTAAAAAAAATTTTTAGAATTGTCACTGTTAAAATCACTCAATAGAAAAAAAAAATTTATTGATATATATATATGCTTTTCAATTTAAATCAATTATTATACGGTTGGCACATATTCGTCCAGCAAATTTTGCGAAAGTTTTTAAAAGTTCTAAGACATGAAAAAAATATCTTTCATTATATGCTTGAAATTCTAACGGTGTCACGACTTGACGACCAACCCTTAATTTAAGTTGTTCAACATTAGTTTCTTCATTTTCGTCCACTAAAAACAACAATATGAGATAGAAACAAAGAAAAAAAAATTATCAATTAACAATTTCAAACAAACCTTTAATTGGATCTGATTCAAATCGAGCATATTTATGAGCATTTAATAATGGTATACATTTTTCAATACTATGCCACGTATATGTTTCAGGACATAGAAGAAACGATGGTTTGTATTGACCCTAAAATAATGCGATGAGTTACACATTTATTATTAGATAATTAACTGTCAACGTCTATTTCATATAGAAGAAATTTCTTTCTTTTTTTTTGACGGAAGGCTTGTAAAAAGTGACACACTTTTCTTTTCTTGTTATGAAGGCCTAAAACATAGTTCATAGAGTCCATTCTAAGTTCATTCGATAAAAAAAGTTTTCGTTCGACCCTACTGTTGACTTTAGTTTTCAAATAAGTTTTTCTTCTAAACAAAAAACTCAAAAAAGTGAAAACTATTCAATTGTTCAACTGCAACTTCCTGTTATGTTCTGTGAACATTTAACGAGTTGTGAAAGTCTATGCTCATCAAGTTCAACACGAAATATTACGTGTTTAGCATTAATAGTAAGTGAATTTTGATCTTTATGTTTGTAAGACTTTTTTTCAGGACGTCTGATGACGTTGTTCAGGAGTAAAAACCTTGGAATTAACACTTAGTCATATTTCTTTTGGATGCAATTTCGGAACTCGTGTTTGCAAAAGTCAGACATGCTCTATGAAAAGTTCATGTCTATGCTGTTGAGCGGAAAAGTTAATTCTGAAGAAAATTCTGTAACATTTGAACCGAACAACGAAAGTTTTTCACATGTTTTTAATTAAAAACAAACTATATTGTCTGTCTATCAGGAAACGGTTCCTTGGAATGTTTTCAAATATTTTCTCTCTGAAATCTTGACACATCGAGCAACATAGAATTTATGACGGATTTTGTAGTATATGTCGAATTTCAGAGGAAACGATTTCTAAAAGAACTTTTTAATTATTTTTGTCCTTTTGGCTGTCACAGTTGGAAATTTGAATAGCTGTAAGTGTTTTCAGATTTTTTGCCCAAAAGAAAAAATTATTCGAAAAATTGAGTCAACAGTTTTACTGAACGTAAAATTCTCAGTCGACTGAGTTCAAAAAATAAACTCATTGAACTGTGTTTTAGATTTAAAAAAAAACAATAAATAAAAATGTCACATTCTTTATAGACCACCCATTATTTCCTCTTTTTTGATAACATAGGATAGTTAACACAAATGTCATCATATAATTTTCTACAAAATAAAAATAGAATCAGTATATACAAATTACCAGCTTTAAAGCAAGCAGCTTCGACTTCATCGTAGTCCTAATTAACAAACGAAGTTCGACAAAAGCAGATATATCCTCATTAAGACTAGGTGTTTATTGACGATTAACGTTTGAGTATTTTAAAATAATTAAAAATTTTAAGAAAAGATCAGAATTCTTTTTTTAAATAAACAAATTTCAATAGACTGATAAAATATAATTTAGAATCGAAATATTTTGTCAGACACTTTCGTTCATAGATATTTATAAAAATTTTCGTTTGTCATCCGTACTTTTTCCATTATGATGCATTGTGGTTAAAAGGCTGGAGCCTTGGCCCGACTAGAAGTTTTGCTTCATTAATCCTCATCAAAAGTCTTATTTTTATGAATATTTGGTACTCTTCATAATGCTTAGTGATCAACATTGCAGAGTGTATCAACTATACATAGTAATAAGACTCCTTTTAAAGTAAACTTGAGTTCGGACCGAAATCTTTATAAATCTTATGATTCAATAATAAATGACAATCTTTCAAATTTTGACCTTTAATTCAATCAATTTAGACAGAATTGTAATGAATTTTTTTTGACTATACATATATAACACATGAATAATTACTTTATAACGCATTTTTACACATGTATGCACATAAAAACCAAGATAATAATATTTTATATCAGGTATCTCATGTGCTAATCGTCGTGTCAATTCAATTTCTCTATAAAGAAAAATAGAATAAAAGATATATCCAATTAATGTTTTTTTTTTTTTTGTTTAAATTTCTACTTTAATGCTGAATAAACTCCAAGTTTAAGAAAACCAAACTTAGGATCATAATAAAAATAAACCGATGAAACACCTCCAGGAAGTATATCAATAACACTACATGCAATTATTTTACCATTAAGATAATATTGTAAATGAAAAGATCCATAGCCACACGAAGGAATGTTTGATGATGGTATTCGAGAACAATCTTTTTCTAAAGATGATTGACAAAGAAAACGTTTGTATTGTGAAAATGAACATTCTGATTTTGCATCTCCATGTATTTTCATTTGATAACGCTCATAAATTGAATGAGATTCTATTAATGTACGTGTAAATTCTTCACATGGTGGATATGAACGAACTAAACGGAATTCGAATTTATTTTTTGGTTTTTCATTAAATTGTAACATTTGTTCAAGTGATCGAATTGAATTAGTTTTCATTCTATCAAATCGTTTGATTAATAAATGAATATCTTTAAATAGATAAAAAAGAAGAAGAAGAAGAAGATTATAAATATTTAATTGATATTGTTCTTTTTTTTTTTCTATTTTAACAAACCGGTTTCGGATGAAAGTTTATTTTGTGTTTTAAGTTTAAGTAATTTTTTATACCAACGTTTTTGACGAGATCGTAATCGATTAAGAAGTTCATCAGGTGGCGCTTATTTTATTGAAATAGAGAAGAAAAAATATGAAAAAATGATTTATTTACTTTCATACGTGTATCATTTGTTAGCATATGACGAATTAATTGAATAGCAGTTGTATTTGGTTGTGTTTTGATCCATTGATTGAGATTTATTTCATTGTTCGATTTATTTGTTGTAGATTTCGATTGAATACTAGTTGATTTTGTTCTTTTTGATTTGTTTGTTGTAGACAAAGATGAACTAGCAGAAGCCTGATGTTCAGACGATATTTTGATATGTTGACCAGGTTCTATATCTTCATTTACAAATCGATTCATATTTCGAATAACTTGCCGTTGTGAACGAGATAATTCAAAATTATTTGCATCACAACTGTAAAAAAAAAAAAAGCAGATCATTTAAAGGTTTCTCAAATTTTATTCTCATCGGTGAAATAAGTTTTCTTTTTTTAATTAAAGTGAAGATTTAAACAGAAGTTCAAATCAATATTGAAGTTCTTTATTCCATCAATATAGATAACTTAACATAATTATCAGTTGATTAATTAAAGAAATAAGAAAGTAAAAAATTTCTTAAACAATCATATTTCTACAAGAAGATTTTAGTAATGTTCAATATGATACTTTCATGAGACAAACTCAATTCATTTAATATATAGCCAAATTATTCTGACGAGGGAACGTTTTCAACTGATCTATTGCTTTCTTTTCAAAAGCTAGTGGACTGTAGGCTATTTACCATACTGATTCCGAGTATAGTCATAAGAAACGCTCTTACATGTTCATATACTTGTTCTCTAGAAAACTGATTTTCTTAACCAATAAAAGTTTTGTCAAAACCGTTTGTGATCTACTTAGACTATAGAGTATATGGAATTCTTTTATAAAATAATAATCTTTTCTATTTTTGAGTATGAATACTAACACAAATAATATCGCATTGAAGATTTTCACAATGAAATTTTGATATGTATGAACTAAAATAGCTGTATTTTCTGCAAAAAAAATTGGTTTGAAACAGAAAAATTAACTATTTTCTAAATAATTCAATGTGCTCTGTCATCTGGACAAATCAAAAAGAAAATATTCGACAAAAATTTCTTTGGACTGGCAAACCGATTTTCTAAAAAATCAGTATGTAAAGCAGCAGCACCACGACATATTTCATAGTTATATTCATAATCAGCATGACTGAGATAATCCATAATTCACTAGCTTTCGATGACAGAGGAATTGATCATTTAGAAAACATTTCCTTGTGAGTCATTCTCTGATAAAATGTTCAAGCAAACTTACCGTATTGTATAAAGTGGACAACATGTTTTATCCATCAATGATCTATAATAATAGGTACCACATCTATGTATAAGAAAATAAATTTATTTAAAATTGATTTTTTAAAATTTTTGAATGAGTCTCACTTTCGCCAACCACGATCCATCAATAGTAAATAATCATCAACTAACATCTTTGAAGCAACAACACCTAAATAATTACAAAAGAAATCCCTTTATTCTTAAAGTATACTTTTCTTTACCAAAAGAAATTTTTCCACTTTTAGTCTGACAATATCCACAATTTGATGAATGAATTTTACGTAAACTGACTGAACTGGTTAGATACAAACCTGCTGAACAACTTCCATCTGTGTTACAGTAACCACAATGGTGTGGAATTGGATTTAAATCAAAGGCTATTTGTACAATAGAAGAAGATGATACATTCGATATTGATGATGCATCATGTCGATGAGTAGACATGATCGTTTTATTTCAATATATTTATATCTATAATCAAAACAAATCTCCAAATGTGTATTGTTTTTTTTTTCTTATTCTTTGGAGTAACAATAACAAAAAAAAAGGAAAAACACATAATTTATGTTTTAACACTAATTCCTTTAAATGGTATTTGTCGACAATCGACAATCGATTCTTTATTATCTCCATTGGAGACATTTGTAGGATTTGTTTTCAATTTTTTTGGCTTATTATTTGTTTCATCATTGGCTGTTATTGTTGTTGTTGTAATTGATGATAATTTTCGTTTTGTTCTCAACATATTCATAACTTCTTGATTGATTGTTAATTGAAATCTATATGCAAAACAAAAATAGATATCTAATAATAACAACTACGAAAAAAAAAACCTTTTCTTAAATGATTGTAAAAGATTAAGAAGTTGTTTACGTTGTTTATCACTATTGATGGGCTTTGCTTTAATTGCTACTGAAACGGCATCAAGTAAAGTTGATGCTTGTTTTTCAGTTAATGTTGGATTCTAGAAAATAAAATTCAGTTCATACAGTGTGGCGGAAAAATGTAATATCATATTTTTTGATGTTTTTTTCTATAATATTGAATATATAACTCAAAATTTAGATAATGATTTTAATAGCTAATGTAGTTTTATATCTAATGCATTCTTTAGTAAGATTTCATAGATGAACTATGATAGAAAAGTAATTTTCAGGTCTGACAAGATTTGTTGAAGCCATTTTTTTTAACAATGTTATCATAAAAGGACAAAATTCTAAGCAACATGATGCCATCATAGTTCATTTATGAAATTTTACTATAGAATGCATTTGATAGAAAATTCCATTGACTATTAAAATTACGATTGAATTTGAGGTAGGTGTTTAATATTGTCGGCTTGTCCAAACGTAACGCTGTGACATTTTTGACAAATTGCTTTGCCGTTATCTCGAAAGGCATAAGAGCTACTAAGGTCGTTCAAACATCATTCGACGCAGCTTATCATACTCTATTCATGTTGCAAGAACAACCTAGTTTGACTGAACTATCGCACTTCTAGAAAGGTTTTATCATCGCGTAACGCTGTGACAAAAAAAGGACCCTTTTTCTCTAGAGCTGCTTGTAAAATTCTAATTTTTTGACAAAGTATTTCTTCAACTGAATTGCTTATGGTCCCAGTTTTGGNAAACGAAGCATAGCTTCATCATCCATATCCACATCATCCTAAAAGCCAATTATTTAAATAGTTTTCATTCAAAAATTTTGTTTCGTTTTTATTTTACTTCTTGATCTTCTTTTGCTGCTGCATTACCAAGTGCTTTTTCAACAGCTTGTCGAAGATCTTCATTGACATTACCATTTTCAATAAGTTCTTCTTCTTCAATATCCGAATCATCATCATCATCATCATCACTATCATCATCATCATCGTCGTCTTCATCTTCATCTTCATCTTCATCTTCATCTTCATCTTCGTCTTCATGATCACTTTCATTTTCCACAGTAATCGTCTAAAATTTCATAAATTAAACACAAATCGTATGAATTAAGGTCCCACATCCTCTACAAAAAAAATCGATTTTTCTAACAAAAAAAGCACTTTTTAGATAAACGTATAGGCATAAATTTGAAGGTATCAAGTTTAAAAATTCATAAGAATGACTTCCCTTCAGAAATCATAATGAGCTCCTAGAATTATACTACGAAAATGTCATGTCATATCCATAGAAAAATCATAAATGCGATTGAAATCACGGCTCATTATCGTAGTCCAACGTCTAACTAGATGGTCACTCGATAGAACTCTAGATAAATTTTTAATTGGTACGTAATATAACCATAGTTGACGTTCATGTTAGAAAGTTTAGTCAAATAAATATGAAAAAACATGCGTTTGAGTGAACTGCGCTTGTTTTTTATTCGATAGATAAATACGTTATGTTTTCGGATAAGAGAAAGGTTTTTTATATTTGACCTTAAAAATCAATGCAATTATGAGTGTTCTAGAAAACTTTACCTAAGTTTTTGAGGGTCTCAAAAAATGAAATAAAATTAAAATTAAAAAAACTTTTTCTTTATCTGAAATGGTAAGTAGTTCTCTTTGTAATGAAATTAGCCCGAAAGCTGTAGCATTAAGTCTATTAAAAAAAACATTTGTATGCGTGAGAGTCCTACTCGGAATTACGGCTTCCGGAAACCTCTGAAACGGTAAGAATCGAAGCCACGAAAAGTTTTTATTAATTATGGCTTCATTAGTCGGACATATTTAGAAAGTTCAATGAAAATCTCATATACTGTATAGGAAATCGATTTTAGAGGATGTGATGTTAAATTAATTTTACTTGAAGCATCAGTTTCAATGCATTTTCATTAAGATAAGGTGCTATTTGATGATAAATTTTTTTAACAATTGATCGAATATCATGCTGCTTTTTAGTATCCATCGATAAAAGTATATCAATAAATACTTCAATCCATGACGATTCTTCTAGAAAAAAAAATTTTACTCGTTTATTAATCAAAATTTATGCAAAATAATATTAACAAAAAAAAAGTGATATATAACTTATTTACCTTTAACTTTCTTTTTCAACACAAGTTGAATACGAGCATTTTTTATGCATGGAATCAAATCCTAGAAAATAATTTATTTTTAATTGAAATTCTTTTTCTTTTATTTTTGTGACATACATCAAGATATTGTTTAGCACGATTAAAATCAACGAAAAGATCGTAGAAACTTAAAACAAATACTTGTTGAAATGCTAATCGAAGTTTTTCATCGGGTAATGATTGAATCTAAAACAAAAAAAGAACAATTAATAGAATTCAGTTGACTTTTTATTTTATTTTTCTAACCGTATCTCCTTGAATAATTTGAAATAATTCTTCACTTTGTTCATTTAAATATTGTTTTATTTCTTCGACATGTTTAAATAATGGTGAAAAATGTTTCGTTGATTGCAACCATTGCTAAAAATAAACAAATTAGTATTAAATCATCTTCTCAGAAAATAAATAAATTTTCATACGATTGATTTTTGAAAAACACTTAAACTGTGTTCATATTGATTTTCGTGAAATTCATACATAAGAAATTTATATATAATATCTTCAATATGTTCTCGTGTTACATCTGAAATTTCAATATTTCCATGAAGAAACTAGAAAACAAAAAAATATGAAGTAATTAATATTATCTTCTTTTAGAAGATAAATTACTTCACGCAATTGTTTTGGTATATGATTATTTAATTTAAAGTTAGCTAGAAGAACACATATTGCAAGAATATTTTCGAAGACTGAACCACATGATTTGTTCTTTAAATCGAATGATGAACAATTACATACATTCGAAAGCTAAAAAAGATTAAAAAGCAATAACAAGGAAATTTATATAAAAATTTCAAAAAATTATAATACCATTTCAAGAAGAAAATGTCGACGGCGATCAAGAGCACTAATGAAAAAAATTCAAAAAATCTAAGTTCATTTAAGATTTATTATATACCTTTCGTCTTCCGTGAAAACTGTGCAGAACAAACCAATGATATGTTTAACATAGATTAATAGTTCATCAATAGTTAACTACAAATAAGAATAAAAAATGATATTAATAAAATTTTATTTAATTCATCAAAATTTATTTATAATAATAAAATCAATACAATTATATCACAGTTTTTCTTTCACTATAATTTTTTTATTTATTGAACAACTATCTTTACTAGAGTTTCTCAGAACAGGGAAAAAGCCACTCAGTCTTCTCAGAAAAAAATCGAGAGAATTTTTCAAGTATCCACATCAAACAAGTGCGTCTTCTAACAATTCGTCCTTCAAGAAATACGGTATTTTATATGACTCAGCAGTACGATGACATACTTCATGTACAATCACAGAGCTATTTGAAATATAAAAATACAGTTGGATACAATGCAACATGATTGCTTACGAGTGTCTACAAACACCGTATTCTTCGCTGTGGGCATAGTTTTTCTTAAGGTTTTGCGTCATTTTTAATTTTTTTTTTTTTTCGTATCTTTGCAATATCCATAGATATACAACTATTGAAAAGATGTCTTTAAAGTAAAAAAACATTACATTTATAGTAAGGAGATTTATATTAGGAAACATATTAATGAAATTTATCAAACTTATTTTTACTCTTTGTTAATTAGAACTAGGAAAAATAGCAGCTATTTGCTTATTAAGTCACTGTAAATCACATGCGACTGTTTAACTATTGAGTATAATATTGAATTAGATTTAGCCGCTTATTATATGTATGATGGAACAATAAATTCGCTTAAGTTTTTCTAAATAAGTTTACTAATTAAACATTTTCTTACTATTGATACATATTGGGTGCACTTTCTTTTGAATGTTATCTTAAAAAAGTCACTCTTTCAATGTCTGTTCACCTTTAGGTACTGCAAAAATTAAAAAAAACATGAAATTCGAGTCGAAAATTATAATCTAGCCTATATGAAAATGTAACAAACTAATGAGAATCACTCATTTTATAGGTTTCATCGTATTGTTAATGAAAATCATAGTGTCATGAGAAAAAGTCATCAAATCTTCTAGGACCTCGCTGTCGAAAATTTTGGCATTATGCTATGGCAATGTAACACCGCTATTTGTAGATGTCTTTTTTCTCTATCGTCATTCTTTTATCTCAAAAGCAAAAATATTATTCATATCTTCTGGCAAATGTTAAAATAAAATCTGTATGAATAAAAATCTAATTAAAAAGTTCAAACTTATAAATACCTTTTCTGTTACAGCATTAGCAACTGAATGAATACATGTGTAATTTTTATTGGCACTAAATAAATAAACATAAGAATTTGTTTATTTCTAAAATATAAAATTTAATGCTAACCAATTTAATAATTTTTCAAATAAATATAATCGTTCTTTCAATGGTCGATTAGCAATTGTATGTGCGAGTTTTTCAAACTAAATATCATTTAAAAAATAAAAATTTTATTTCATTAAATATTTAACATACAGCATCTTTTGATAATGTAATTGATGCTTGTTGATGCAATTTTCTTCCTGATGATGATAATAAATCAAATATTTTACTAAATAATGTTTGACTACTATCGAGAATAGTTTCAATCTAAACAATCAATCATGATAAAATAATACAAATAACCAATAGAATACGAAATACCGTATAAATAGAATTCAAATTTTCTTGTTCTTGAAAACAAAATGTTATTAAATCAAGTAAAATATGTCCTTTATTCGAATCAAGTCCAATATTTAATAATTCTGAATTATAAAAAACAAAAAAAGAAAAGATTTAATAGAATTCTATAAATATATTTTTATCGTACCATCAACAAGTACTGGCCAAAATAATGCTAATTGTTGAGTACGAATTGCATAGATAAGTAATTCTTGGCATAATTGTTGAAGTAAATGAAGTTCATTATCAAATGACTATAATTTACAAAATAAACTTTTAGAAAATTTCAAGAATATTTCTTAGTTTTTTTTTACTTGTAAACATTTTTTTATTATCATTTGTTCATCATTTGTTTTTCCTAATGGTAACATATTATTATTCCAATGTAATCGAAAATATTCTTGATCGAACATTTTCTTTCATGAGAAAAAAGAAAAATTTCAAATTTATATATATATACATATGCTGTTAATAAATATTTATACATACAGGATAGAGATTAACTAATGAAACAAATAAAAATAAAGATTTTGTTCCATCATCGCCCATTTGCCAATTTGTCGGTAGAAGTTCTTGAATATGAGGCAAGATTTCTTTTTTAAACAATTTACGACCACTCTATAAAATATTATTTAATCCATCTAGTACTTTATTCTTATAGAAAATAAAGGAATAAATGTTTGCTATAATTCATTCTTCAAAGTTTCAAGAAAAGAAAAAATTCTATAGAATGATAATCCGCATGATTATTATGTAGGAAGTTTATATCTTCTTTAGTAAAAGTAGTCAATATAAATGAGAAGAAACCTAATGAGATTTTTAAAATATGTTACAACTCTACCCCGGTTCCACTCAATAAGGACATAATAGAAGATTCCTCTCAATTAATTGACTTCTCGGAAAATTGAAATTTTAATTAGTAGATTTACATAAAAAATACACAGTATCCGTGCCAGAATTAAACAGGAGTGAGCATAATCTTAATGACTCGACCAAGATAATAGCTACCAACATGGGATTTTCAGCGATAGAAAGAGGAGAATTTTCGATAACTTTTTATCTTATATTATGTAAGACAAAATTATTTTATAATCCATCATTTTTGGAAAACATTCAAAATAATGCGTGAAAATTGTGTTCTATTTCGATGTAAATTTAATTATAATATTGACTTCAGATAGATGGGCTTCAAATCTGTAATTCAAGTAATTATCTTTTCATATATTACTCCTAAGAAAACAAAATTATGTATCTATTCGACAAAATCATATAGAATTTCGTAGATTTTCAGAAATATTTCTGACTTTTGATCAAAATTTCTTGGAAAACAAAACACTGTTTCCATGTGTTCATTAGGTTTCTGACAACCACAAGCCGCTAACTATGACCGTTGTCGAGTATTTGAGCTTACTCATATCCACCTCTCTGTAATTCTGGTGCGGACATTAATTTTAATGGTTGTGAGCTGAGAAACTTTAAAAGACTAAGATCAGTATTATTGCTAGGCTTTTTTAAAATCTCCTTTAATAAAAAGTTATGAACATAAGTGAAACCCAAGAGAACATCTCTCTGAAAAACTTGTATGTTTACACATGACAGAAGACTTGAGCTCGTATATGAGGGGGGGGGGGGGTTCGATATAAAGTATATCGATGTTGTCGAAAACATCTTAATTAATTTACCCATTTAGCTAATTGAACAATTGATGCATCAATAAATGCTCTTAATCGTCGTCGTGTTTCTTGTGTACGCATTGAAAGTAAATCAGGTATGATTTTTTGTAATAAAATTGATAACTAAATAGAAAACGAACGACAAATAAAGATTGAACGATGAATTCAATAAAAACTAACATCATTATCTTTTTGTGTATAAGCCAATGCAATATAACTAAGTACACGACCAATACGAACATTTTTTGCATCCTACAAAAGTATAATTTTAAAAAAAAAAAAAGTACTAATCAAGTCATGAAATTTTACTTCAACACCAGTTTCTTTTTTTGTTGTTAATTTATTCTGTACTGATGAAATAAAATCATCAACTGAAGACATTTTCAATTGATCATCCGTAAGACTTGCAAGCTAAAATATACACAGAAAATTTTATCAATTTATCTGCTAAATCACAAACTGTGCCAAGAGTTGCAGCATAACCAATACGAGCACATTTACGATTTGATACTAGACCTTTAATTAATCGTGAAATAGTATAATCCATTTGAGATGATAAACTCTAAAAATTAAAATTTCAATACTTTCTTTAGTATAAATAGTTATCTATACTTTCACATTGTTATCATCAGATGATAAATTTTTCAAAGATTCCAATAATTTTTCCATGCCATGTTGACGAGTGCGTATATCAAAATCTGCTAATTCCCAATAGACATCCATTTTATAATATCTTAAATGACAGATGTTTTCTTAAGTGTCGAATGCAAATCAATAATAATTATTTAAAACTGAAAGAAAGAAAAGTGCTAGATATGCGTTGAAATTACTCTTAGCTTGAAAAACAACCATAACCAATCAATGGATAGTTGATACATATGAACTAATAAGAAAAAAACTTCGAACAGCTGAGAGAACTCTATCAATTGGAAGCGAGCGACATCTCTTTGGTAAGTGTTAAAAGAAGCAAACTCATTTTACTTCATCAAAACTAAATTTTCAAACATATTGTTCATTTTTTTTTCTTCTGACGATAGATTTTATCCATCGCTACATAAGAAGTCATTTTTCAAGTAGATGTCTTGCATTAGGATATCAAGAGAGTCTTAAATTTCTACTGGATACAAGTAACTAATCTTCGCGCCAAAATTAAAGAAGGATCAGTGTAATCTCAAGAACTCAACAACGCAACGGTTAGCAATCTGTAGTTTTCAGCAATCAACAGGGAATAAATCCAGACGTCTGTTCACTTGATTACTATATAAGACAAAATTATTTTAAAATTTGTCATCATCGAAAACGTAGACAAATATAAATGAAAATGGTATTCAATTTGGAAGGTTTTTCATAAAAAGTCACAAAATTCGATAAAAACAAATAAAATTCTGCACAATTTGACTGGGCAGATATGCGATTTTGTTAGCTAAACATTGAGATACGAGACGATATTTACCTGTACCATACCTTGAACTATAGATGTGAGATCTCTCTATTTGAAGTCCAGATTTAACTAATATTACATCAAAACGAAACATTGTTTTCATGGATGGATTTGTAAATAATTCTGTGTTATGCATTATCAGGCAAAAAGACATTTGGACTTTCCTTCTTTAGATTGTAGAAAAACCGTAAGTGGCTGACTGTTGCCGTTATCGAATAACGTAGCTTATACGCATCTCTCTTTAATTTTGACGTGGATATTAAATAGAGGATACTCTTTACACTAATTAGTGGTCATTCGGGGGGGTTTTACAAAAATAGTTGCTTAAAATCAGTGATAATGTTTTCGAATGTTATATAGAAAGTAACTTTTTCTTCATAATATAAAGTTTGAGAGCGCATTAAGAGTTAGTCGTTGTGTTAGAAGTTTTGTTGATATTGATGTCATGCGTTGTGTTGGTAATTTCATTATTATACCGAATATTGACAGACGACGATATAGGAAACATATGTATATATTATTCATCAAGTTTTCAATGCTTATAATCAATTATAATTTCGTTTTTTTGCAAACTAATCTTGTTGTAAACTCAGATTACACTTCCCGAATTTCTTTTTTTACTAAAACTATAAAATCAACTTTTTGAAGATAAACTTCGAATATTAAAACATTGCTCTTAAAACCATCTCAAGTAATGTTACGTTCTATAGTATAAATGTTAGAAGACAATAATGTCGATTTTCACTTAATTGAAAATTATTAGCCTATTTCTTTAATTGTATATGCTGCAAAAGACGATGATTACAATGGACTAAATTATTAAACTATATTTTTGTTTTTTTTATTAATACATAATTGTGTGTTATCAAGAGTGCATTATTGACGAACAATATTATCTAGTATGAATTTCAACCATTTTATCAAATACAAGTTGTCTAAAGGCGGAAGATCCAAATTAGATATAGAATTACAAAATTGTTCAGCGGATATTTGACAAATTTCTTTGAAGAGATTTTCACTTAAGAATTCACCAACACACTCAAACGAACTATTTTCATTACTGATTGTTTTTAATTTGATTCGCCATTCTTCAAGGGAAACACTTTCTAATTGAACACCACAGCGACATATACCATCAATGATATCTTCAAATAGTACTTCGCTATTTGGATTTAGAACATGAAAGATTTTTCCGTATACATCAGGTTGAATACCACTCAAATAGACGATACTTTTCGCTGTAAAATTGACTGGTAACTCATGTAAACGAGCATTAACTATTGTTTTAGGATAACAATTTAACTTCATCATTGCAGCAAATAAAAATGTATGAAGATCATTTCGATTACAAGCGCCTGTTTCCGTACTAGCACATATCGATCCAAGACGATAAATGACCACTGGCAAACCCAAACGATTGGCTTTAGTCATTAACTTTTCGGCTACCCATTTACTTTGTGCATAACCACTGACTAGACCATTTGGAGAAATGTCATCAATCGATACTTCTTTGTTAACATCAGAGGACAGAACACTCAATGTTGAAATATAGTGAACAGGTATGCATACAGGCGTATGAGTTGCTAGACGAATGATCTCTTGCGTACCACAAACATTTGAACCGTAAAGTCTGCTATATGGAAGTACAAAATTCACAGCAGCACCGCAATGAAAAATAATATCGATTTGATTAGCAAGTGATTCATATGTTTCATTATCTAATCCAAAATAAGTTTTTTCTAAATCACCTTGTAGTGGAATAATTCGTTCTTGAAAATCTTCTTGCCATATTTTATGAAAAAGCATGTTTTGTCGAATACGATCCAAAGGATTGGTCAAAGATTCACATCGTACAAGACAGATAAATTTATATTCAGAAGGATAAACCAATAATAATTCAGCCAACAAAAATGCACCGATAAATCCTGTAGTACCAGTAATGAAAATTACTGAAGGAGATACGACTGTATTTTTACATTTATCTATCGTAATATCCAAAAATAATTCAGAATCATTCAACAATTGCTCTACGATTGAATGTGAAGACATCTGTGCAGGATCTTTGATAACAGTTGCTAATCGTTGAAGAGTCATATCAGGTTGTAAAAGTATGCTTATTGGTACAGATATTCCTAGATCATTTTCAATCTTACGAGATAAACGTACAGCTGTCAATGAATCACCACCAGTAGGAATAAAGAAATTATCTTCTTCGTCGGTTAATAGCGATTGTTTTGTTGTTGTTTCAATGATAGTTTTTAAGCGTTGTTCAATAGTATTAGATTGTTTTAATCGATCACCATAATATGCAGCTAATTTGTGACGACAAGGCTTCATTGTAGATGTGAGTAAACCATTTTCTGATGTAAACGGTTCAAAATCAATGATTAATCTTGATGGTATTTCATGTTTTCGAAGTGATTCTTTTTCAGCTATCAAACGAAGATCTTGTAGAATGGCATCATAAAATTGTGGATCTGGATTGGTCGTATCAAAATTTTTCAGATTATGTTCAAGTGCAAATGCTTGTGCATATTCTCGATTTGGTACGATAATAACAGCAATAGAATCTGCTAAGAGATCACCATGAATATAGATTTGTTCGATGAAAGGACTTTGTATGTAAATACTTTGAAGAAATTCTGGTGATACATATTGTCCTTGTGAAAGTTTGAAAAAATTCTTCTTGCGATCAATAAGATTTACATAAAAATCACCATCTGGATGGATACGTAGTTCAACAATATCACCAGTACGAAAAAATCCATCTTCTGTAAGAGCTGCTCGAGTTTCTTCGGGATTGTTAATATAACCGGAAAACATCTCCTCAGTTTTTATTAAAAGTTCTCCTCGAGGAAATAGTTCATCGTCTATTGTATAACCCATTTCTGGAACAGATATAAGACGAAATTGTAATGTATTTTTAATAATATTATTGAATGCTACGTTTCCACATTCCGTTATTCCATATGATTCATAAATATTACAGCGTGAAAAACATCGTTTAATAAAATTAAGTACCACTGGACTAACCATAGCACCACCAACACTGATCGTTTTACATCTCATTGGAATGAGTTTTGAAAATTGTTGCAGAAGCCGTTCTTCTTCTGCTGCAATTGCTTCTCGTGGTAGATGAGCTATTGCTAGTGACAGAGCTGCCTTAAATTCAGCGTATATTTTGTTCCATATGGCTGGTGTTGCGGAAAAACTGTTAGGTCTAACTAAAGCTAATTCTTCCATTAGGCGAGAAACATCTCCTGTAGAGAATCCAGTACGTCCTCCAACAAAAAACATTCTAATAACAGTATCACGATCACTCACCCATGCTAATGGTTCATAACAGAAGCTAATTTTGTCACAAGGAGATGGATGGCACCATTGTAAATGTGTAGCTCGATAAGCATTTTCGGAGATCATGGCACCTTTAGGAAATCCTGAGCTTCCACTTGTATATATAATTGTCAGACATTCATTAGGATCAACGATAACAAACTCGTACTGTTTAGTGGAACCATTGATTTCAATGTCACCCATGTAGTGAATGCGTAGATCATTCTTTTCCATGCCTATAAGAATGATGTCGACAGTTTTATACAAACAATATGAATTATTCCGAAAACATGTTCCGTGAAGGACTGTCTTAAAACTGAAATCATATTAAATCGATCACAAAATAAAGGAGAAAGTTAATGAACAATATCTTTTAATAAATTAAGATTTTGATATTTACCTAGTATTGTTTCGGGAATTGGATCCATACAAACAATATGATGAAGTGATGGACATTCTGTATACAATCGAATAAATTTTGGCAACATCTGTTTATCACAAACAATTACTGATACTTGTGTGTTATTGATAACATAAGCAAGTTCGCAATCGTTGAATAAACAATAAATTGGCACACTGATAATACTATGAAAAATGCATGCAAAATCAGTAATTACCCATTCAGGTCGATTTGCTGCACAAATACCAAGATAACTGCGTGGTTCAATTATATCTCTTAATCCTTGTCCAAAGTTTTTGCATCGGGTACCCACTGTTTCAAATGTTAACCAAGAGTATGTATCTGCATATAGTGAAGGATTGTTTGTGTCAACATCTCGTACACCCAAACAATAACGATCATGATACATAGTTATAGCTGTTTGAATTCCATTTGCCATACTTGTATTTTGGCATTCTTGTACTGTTTCTTCCTTTCCATATGCTAGTTCACGCATCATTCGATGAGGATGTGGTGGATCGAGTGTTACAAAACATTCTTCACATAAATCATAACTTTCACAAATAATACAATTGAAACGAAACTCGCCATGTTTTAGAATTCGATAACAATGGTTACAATACCAGTTACTCAATTTTGTGGTAGCTATCTCATTCATATTAATCTTGAAGCAGATTAAAAATAAATCAGTTGAATTATATATTTTTTTAAAGAGTACGTAATGATACTCAAATTTCGACTTTTTCTCTTTGCTTGCCTATCCTTTTTACCAATGATTATGCCTTTTTCTTGGGTAAATCAATTATATAGGTAGTCTGTTTTGGATTAAACAATAAGTGTCATATCCATGAGCAACCCATAAAACTTACAAAAAAACACCTTTAGTAAATCTTCTAGAGAAGGAATGACACAAAAATCAGTTTGGTCTGATATAAGATTAAAGAGTGAATTCGTTTGTTTAAAATTATATATGCTTGTCAAAGGCAAACATGTATACAACTCTATTGATGAAAATAATACTTGAAAGTTTGTGATAAAAGATTAGATAAAATCACGCAACGCTTTTTTACTAGAAACTAAAATGGATTCTGGTTTCGTACTATTCTAGAGTTTTGTCTGACCCAAACTTAGTTCAGATTTTCAAAGAAATCAACTTTTAGAGCTCATGTCTGGATAGATAGAATTATACTTCAACATCTACACAAATAACCTAGAAAAAAATATAAGAGATACAAGTTCCTATTGGTTTTCAAATACTCTGTTTTATTTTTTTTTAATTTTTTGAACTTATCATATTCTCTTTACATCAATATCTTAAAGTTCTATGTAAAAATCTCTGCCTATTTCGTTGGATATCTGAAAAACCAAAGCGCCCTACTTTATTTACCATAGGTGAGATATTTTGATTATTCATTGAAACATATCATATAAACAATGATTTTAAACAGCTTCTCATGGAAATTCTTGAACTCCAGTTTAGCCGATCTGAATACAAGCAAAGTAAAATTCAAAGTATTGATGAGAAGAATTTTATACTGATAAAAAAGAATGTGTTATACTCATCATGATTTTCTTCTGATTTCTATTTTAAAGGTACGCAAGACTATTACGAAAGGACGACGTATAAAATGATTCATCTATTTGTCATCATGCTTGTGTATGTAAAAGCTTTTTTATTTGGTTAACAACGTGTAGTCTCATCATCATATCTATTGTAAAAGATCAGCTATATGAAATATTTACAACAGCAACTCTTTCTTTCTCTTTTATTGTACAAAGATAAAAAACTTATTCTGTTACTTACATTTCAATAAATTAAAAAACATTTTTCCTTAATAATCATTCATATATTTCAGCATATCTATTCATTTGTTTAATGACTTACTCGTGTTTGAAAAATAAAATAATTCTAAATGATTGCATGAAAAAAAGTGACTAATCTTGGTCATACACTCAACGCATATGACTCTGGAAAGATAAGATATTTTCATACTGAAATCAGAAAACCAATAAAAATAATTTTACCTACTTCAGTTACAAACATTGATATTGATGAAAGTTTTAGAAATATATATATTGTATTGACAGATAATAGTCCTATTTTTCATGATACATCAATAAATGATTCTCGAGCAATAAGAGATAAAATAAACTCTGCTGGAAAAGAAAGAAATTCTATGGATTAATTTAAATAAAATAGAAAAAAGATATTGTTTGAAGTATCAATAATAATGGATCTTCATGGTAATATACACAATGTTCATTCAATATATGCTAAACAAATAAACTCAATTACTTGAAGTGAATATTCATTCTTAAAATTACAAAAAACATAACAATATTTTTTGATATGACTAGATTTATTTTAAATAAGACCCTTCAAATTAGTTACACGAAAAAAAAAAATATATAAGAATGATACAAGATAACAAAAAACTACAAAATTCTTCTATTATTTATAACATCGTATTTGGTGAATAAATAAATTAGCTTTAGGTAAAGAAGTTTGGCAAGTTGGACATTTGACATAATTTTGTTTTGTTTCATCAGCAGCAGCATTTAAGTTCGTGGATGAAGATGATTTTTGTGAGTTGGTATCGATAATCTTCTTCGCTTCAGATTGTTTACTAACAGTTGAAGAAGATGTAGAATTTGTTTTTTTGAAAAATCGTTCAATTGTAGGATGACTTGGTATTACATCATTAGTTGTTTTCTTCTTTTTCTTGGATGGCGATGAAACTATATTTTTATGAGAATATTTCATATCATTTATATATATTAAAAATCTTTAAGCTTATATTTACTTTGACTAGTTGATGGTTGATTATTTTTATTTGATGTTATATCATTAGTACTTCGTTTTTTATTTTCTTTAGTTTGATAATTTTCTGGTTCTTTTATTTTTTCAAATTTACCACCACAACGTCGTTCATGTTCATCTAAAATCGAGAAAATAATAAAAAATGAAATATTATTAGACTATACGATCGGAGTAGGAAGCAACATGATTTCTTTTTTTGCTTAATTTTTCTTGTATTTTTAATCCTTTAGTGAAACACATTGTATCTGCAAAACGCGAAACTTTGGTTGTCTAAAGAAAACCAGTTATTTTCTCTCAAAAATAAACTAAATCAGATCATATTTTGAATAGTAATATATTAGATAGACAGAAAATAAGACAAACGTTACAGTTATGATTTGATCATCAACATATCTTAAATATAGTTTATGTGAAATCCAGCTCAATATCTAATACTTGAATGGTTTATATTATATCAAATTTTAACAACTTCAATAATTGATTTTAATAAAAGTGTACAAAGTTTTGAATGTACTATAACGGGGTTAAAATAAAACTATGGAATAGTCTCTTATCAACAGTCTTACAGACAGCTGTGAAATTTAATATATTAAAATTAGAACTACTGAAAAACGGTTTAGATGATATTGTAAAACATTTTTGTATGTATCTGGAACTAATAAAAGCTCAAAATATCAAAAACTATATGAACAAAAATGATGATAATAGTAATGATGAACAGTAAATAAAACGGCAAACAACTATTAGAAAAAAATATTATTTTTAAAACTATTAATGTAGACAGTTTTTGTGTATACGAAAAATATATTAAACAAAAGCCTGATGAATAAATGGTTTCTCGATAACTTTGGGAGACTTTCTTCTTTAACTCTTCTCCCTGCTAAAAGTAGCACTAAATAAAAGCTATGAACATAACTTACCCCACCATCGATCTCGATTTGATGGTGCTCGATTCATTGAACGTTTAACATAACCATAGAAAGGTTTCCATTGACGACATGCTCCTGTACATCGCCACCAATGACCATGAAGATGATCATATTCATCATGAAAAGAATGATATACCTAACAATTATAAATAATGAAATTTTCTTCAAGATAATAAAATTTTGATATTACTGTTATATTAGCTCCTGTTACATCATTAATTCGTACCATATGCTTAAGAAACTCTGGTCCATGACCATCACGATCCTATCAATAGAATTCATTTATCTATATATGAGAAAAATTAATAAATAATTAAATTACTCGATTATTATTTGTAACAAATAAATAAGCATGGATCATTTCATGCTAAAAACCAAATAAATGAAAGCTATTTTTCAAAAAAAAAAAAAGAAATATTTACTAATAAAGTTTCAACAAGATCTTTTCGAGGTCGTAATGTTAGATAACTAGCACTAAGTGCAATTCGACATTCACCACCTCGTCTATAATAACATATACCCGCACAACTAAATAAAAATCATATGAGTTTATAAATTTAAAATATCGTTTGTTTTACCGTGTCATTCGTTTACTCCATTCGACATAAACACAATCTAATTTTGCATAGAAAAATTGATGATTAAATTGTTGAAACAATGTATGAATATCCGGATTTGGATCGGTTAATTCCCATTGTTTATCAACAACATTCATTGGATGAATCTAAAGAAAATGTGAATTTTTTAATGAAAATTAATAATTATAAATTTAACCTGTGTGACTTTATCTAATTGTTTATCATTTTCTTTTTCTTCTTTATCGATTTGATTTTGTAATTGAAGTGCAATAAGAAAATCTTCATCATTCGTTTGTTCATCGAAATCTGTCTCGAATGCTAATGATGAATCGAAATAGGTCATCTAAAAAAAATTAAATCAGTTTCAATAAGAAATAAATATTATGTTATACAATATACAAAGATGACTCATCATTACTTGATCAACGTTCTTTTCAAAGTACAACGAGCGATAGAAGGCGTGCGAAGCAAGTCAATTTATTCAGGAATAGAATTTTTCTCTATAAAATAATTAATTACTACTTTCAGACACAAAAAATAGTTCTAATATTTATTTTTCTTTTGTAAACGAGTTTTGATACGTTTTGTTTCTTTTTTTTGAAAATACAAAGTAATAATGATTTCACAAGTGTTTTTGATAATACAGCAGATAATACTGAAAAATGATTGGAGTATATCAATTGTGTATATACAGATAGATTGACATGTTTTCTTTAGCTTGGATTTACTGTTACGTAGATCTCGAATTCATTTACTTTTCGACTTTACATATTAAACTTATTAATAACGCCAAGAAATGGTTAAGCTTTTATAACAGAAACATTTAGAATTCCTAAAGGACCGGCTAATGTAACATTGACAAGTGGTGTTGTTAGTGATGGCTCGTACGTAGATGAAGTATCGGCTACGGAAATATTACGTAAGTCATAGTAATAAAAAGAGATTTTTCTGCTCTTTAGGAAAACTATATACTAATACTACTTGACTTCATATTCGTCGGTGTTCCAACAACGAGTGTAGATGGAAGTTCTGCTCTACTAAGGAAAGAACCTCTTGACATGTCAAATTATTTTTCCGACCGAGACAATGTTCATTTGATGGCTGCTAGAGAGTAATAGAAAGCCTAGAATTTTCCGTGCGTTCATTCTCGAGATGTTTAAATTTTACTAGACTTTTCAATAAAACGTTTATTATGAGAATTTTAGCTTTCTCCTCATGTATCCTTTCTGGAAATGTAAGTATATGAACATAGTTTACTGTTATATACGAGAGAATTTCGAATATAAAATATTATCGGATAAGAGATACTAGAAAAGTTATAACTTGCTCAATGAAATAAACATCTTGTGGATTTAGATTGGAATCTACTATAACATATAAATAATAAACAATTTTTACGTCATAAAAAAAGAAACAAAACGTATCAAAACTCGTTTACAAACGAAAAATAAATATTAGA